TTTTTAATAAAAAAAAAAAAACGAGGCCCCTTCCCCATCAAATGTTGGTTCCAACCAAGGATAATACACACTACTACTACAGGATAGCCTATCCTCATAAGGCCTGTGTGGAACAAATCCACTCTCTCCCCAACGTTAAATCACCAGTTGTGACGTAAGCAGCATGTTATTTCTCGCCTTGACGTAGGTTGTTTAAACAGCTGATGGCTTAGTTATGGCGTCGTAAATGGTAACACACGAGGTCAATAAGCAATCCTGTAGGTGTGTATCATCCTTGAGCTCGAACACCCTCTACCAGGTACAACATGAAGCTAGCTGCTGGACCCTCATAGTTACGTCACCACCACAGCATCCTGTTATAAGACACATCGAACTTGACACATGTACGCTAGATGGTGCCACGGACGTGACCCAGGTCGCTATGACGTCATCACAGAACCCGAACTTTGCACTATGTACTCTAAATGGCGCCACGGACGTGACCCAGGTCGCTATGACGTCATCACAGAACGCGAACCCTGAATCAAACTTTGCACTATGTACTCTAAATGACTCCACGGACGTGACCCAGGTCGCTATGACGTCATCACAGAACCCGAACCCTGAATCAAACTTTGCACTATGTACTCTAAATGACTCCACGGACGTGACCCAGGTCGCTATGACGTCATCACAGAACCATAATTTAATATACGTAGCGATTTCGAAACGACTCGGAACAATCCCTTCCACGCAAACTCCATATTACAGGAACCTGTAATTGCAAGAATTCACCTCAATAACCCGGTATGACGTCATCATAGGTGACAGATGACGTTTGACAGGTGACGTTTGACAGGTGACGTTTGACAGGTGATGTTTGACAGGTGACGTTTGACAGGTGACGTTTGACAGATGACGTTTGACAGATGACGGTTGACAAGATGGCGGGAAAACGTTTCCCCCCACCCCTTTTTCTGGCACCCATGATAAAATCCGGGGAGCCCCTTTTCGGGGGGCGCAGCCCTGTGGGCCCCCTTTTGGGGGGCGGAGCCCTACGGGTCCCAACTACAGCATCCTGTATTACGAGCTTCACACTATGTACGCTAGATGGCGCCATGACGTTTGACAAGATGGCGCCGACGATGCATCCACCTTCGTGTCAACGGCGGCGCATCCACCACGTGTCAAGAATGAAAGATTGAGGTTATGTTCGGATTTTTGTAGTCATACCCCTGTTGCTGTACTACTCACTTAATTGAAAGAGAAAAAGAGATTCTTCTTGTGAAAGAGAGCATGCAGATAACAGAAACTCGCAGGAAAAGAGGATTATTTGGAGAACTACTTACCTCAGTCTTTGGAGTAAACGACGAGGTATACAAAGACATCAGCAGCTTGCAGTCAAATCAAGATGAACTTATAAAGGCAGCCAACCATCAGAGCAAAGTAATGATCAGTGCTATTTCACAAATAAACGAGACGGAAGTTCGCATTCAAGGTCAATTAGACGCAATGGCAAACTGGTCAAGGGCGGTTTAAAGGGGGGGTAGAGGGGGTAATTACCCCCCCAGACCAATATTTTTTTAAAAAAACATTTATTAACTACAAAAAAATTTCAACAAAAGACAAGTTCCATATATGGATAGGCTCACCAGTACCAACGTAGGTACCTAGTACTATACAGTGAGATAAATAAGGGTATTCCATTTGAAAAATAAAATAAAATTAGCTGTGATTGTTTGAAATATCTGGTTTTGTGTACAGTATTGCGAACACCATGTAGAATGTTATCAGATTTTCATAGGACCATGAAGTATAAATGTAAGTATGCACTAACAACCTCCAAAACATTTAGCTTCTAGGATATCCAATGAATGAAATATGTTGGTTTTTGTTGACACACGCAAACTGTGATTTTTTGAAAAAATATTAAATATTTCAAAAACGGTTGAGTTTTGGTATAGGTGATTCATAACAAAAAGTATGTAGGATTTTTAGAAGGATCCATTAATTACCTACTAAAATATAGGGTGTTCCATTCAAAAATAACAAAGTTTTGTTGAAATCCCCATTTACGGAGCAGCCTGTATATTTAAAAATATTTTCAGCTAATGTACCTTAGAGAATCAAACAACTTTGCAATTTAATTTTTTTACTTGCGTCACCCTGTAAGGAGATATCGTCCGATATTGCACTAAGTGGACACCCTGTATAACTATTTCGACGGCAACGGGATACATTTTTGCCCGAAGCGTGTTTTTAAACGACTTTCGGGTGCAAATTTGGGCGTGGCACCCCAAAAAAAAATTCGCCTCCGGCGGTATAGTCTTGCAAGTGGTAAGTTGATAGAGACGGAAGGGGGAAGAAAAGTGGGGCGTACCTAAGAATATTCACTGACACGGCTTGAGGACAGCCATGTCTTTGGGTTCAGTGGCACCAAAAACACCAAGGAAATGAACCAATAAAATTATTAGCCAGACAATACGTTGTGACACTTGATGATTTTTCCGTCATCCATTACCCCCCCCCCAGAAAATCAAGTATGGACCGCCACTGAAACTGGTACGGCGCCGTCGATACCAAAACAATAAATATTCATCTGCTGAGTACATACCAACTAGCAAACAATTACCTTGACGAAATATGTGAGTACTATAAAAAAACTCTCCAGAATCCTGTTCAACAAAGCAACAGTGTACGAATTAATAGCTCCAAGACACGTGAAAACAATCATCACAGAAGCAAACAAAAAACTACCCTCAAATCCGAAGATAGTACAAGCACCGATCACATTGACCAAGGTAGAACAAGACAATCAGGCACAAAAAATATTTACATTCTTCATGATCGAAGATATTTCGAACTTTGAAGTTCTGAAGATTGTGCCCACGCCACTAAAAGTCGAAAATGGGTCCTACTGGACAATTGAAATTCCCAGTGAGATATTAGCAGTAGACTACAATAATCAGCAATATTTCCAGCAAAGCGATCAAGAATTCACATCATGCATATCGACATCACAAAACAAATATGTGTGTTCTCCGACAGCAGTGAAAAACATTGAGACTAATCCGAATTGCATAATTGACATTAATATATCAAAGATCAGAATCAACTCGGTGCGAAGTCCGGAAGAATGGACTAACATCCATTGTTTGGAAGCAACTCTATATGCCTAATACATGGCTATTCATCACAAGAAATCCTACCAAAATAGCTGTGATATGCAAGGGAATCAGAGAAGACATTTCTGTGAACAAAAGCGGAATACTGCAAGTGGAGCAAGCTTGTATAGTCGAAACGAAACAAAACACTCTGTCGACAAGACGAGTGAGCACCGCTCCAGTACTGGCAAGTTACTCCAAGGCGATACTCATCAACATAACAGACGTTCCGCACAATAACGGACCAGTACAACTCGATGAAGAAGCAATCTTCAAAATTTCGGACAGCTTGAATACAATGAGACTGAATGAAGAAAATATTCGAGAACAGCTACAAACGGCAATCTGGAAAAAAATACAAACTTATACATACGCCGCCACTGGAATCTTAGCAGCAATAATTTTTGCGATACTATCATTAGCATGGGTCATTCAAAAACAAATCACGAGCGCAACCCGACGCAGGCAGAGGATTAGACCGGAGTCAGCAAAACAAATTCAAATGTTCGAGTTGCAGCCACTACACAACCGAGACTCAGTCGAGACCGGGGAGAATGTTTAATCAACATAAAATTTGAATTACATATTTCGAAATTTCAACATAAAATTTAATTAAGTCTGAAATTTCTACATATTATAAAATACACAATTTGTTATAAATTTGGCAAGGTAATCAAAGTATCACAAACCTTGCCCAAATTTACTAAAAAATCACGATTCATCATTCACGGCGTCAGTCACCTTATTTTCCGTAATGATACAGTGGAGCGCCAATGTTTTAGATACCTGCCTAAACAAGGCAGTGGCGGTTCGCCCATATGGGCAAGGTGGGCACCGCCACCCTGGAGAAAAAATGGAAAAATAAAAAATACTTCTAATACAATATTTGAAGAGGTCGCAAACTTGAAAATTTAAAAAAATCGCCCACGGCCGTTTTTTATTTTAAATATAGTAAGGTTCAAGTTGAAATGTGCAATATAAATAGGAACCAATTTGATTAATAAAACAAGTAGGTATTGAACAATATTACTTGGGTACTCATTTAATAACGCAAATTAGTCATTTGTGATAATTATCCACAAAGTCCTTCTCAAGAGCTTTGTACTCGTAATAGTCGTAATCTTGGTTAAAGGTAACTGTGATCTTCAGGGAATTATTCCTGAACGTCACGCCCAGAGATACGGACCTTGGAGGCCTTACAACCCTCTAGTGAACTACAACAAAGGTCCCAACTCTGTTCAAAGTGAATACATACGAACCATTTTAAGCTGAACTGTTGAATGACAATACTTTAATTAAATACTAATGGTATTTCATTACTATGTATAGATTCCCTTAAAAAATCTGTTGTTTTGTTATTATGTGGTAAAAACCACACAGTTCAGAGACTCGGAAAAAAGCATTTTTCCTAACTTTGACAAGCCACCATTTCGGCAGGGTAAATAGTATCAACTCAAAACTTGGGGAATATAATCTTTGTAAAAATATCTACCAAATGACGTATCACTCGACCCCCCTTTCCTATTAAAATTTTGGGGGTATCTGTCACCCCCGCTTAGGGGTTGACAGGTAGTGGGCAAAAATACCAAAAAAAATGTGTCCCGGCCCAAAAAACAAAAATTGACGTGTCCGAGCGATTTTTGATTAAACACCTAACACCTGAGAAAACCTGGGTGGGGAGTTTTTCGTGCCCCACCCTGTATAGGCAACTATACCTACCTTGCTTATACGTATTTTATGATAAGAAGTTTCTCTCATATAAGCTCCAAGCATAACTCCAGTAAAATAGGAACTTAATCTCTCATGTGTACTGTAAAGACTTCAAAGATACTTGATTTTTGAAAATGGGTTTTCAATTTAAGAAAATACTTGCTTGTCAAACTCCTTGAACCATAACTTATAAGCCACTGGTAGGATTGTCACTAATACATTCAAAAGTGCTAAATGTCCCATAACTAATTTGAAATGCGATTTTATATAGATTGCCACTGGTATTAGTACCAGAGGAGCTATTAGGAATAGCTGAAAATCTGCTGAAAGATACCAAGTAGGCAAAATACACTGAAAATTAATTAATGTAAAATTTAAACAAACAGAAGAATATTAGGTACTCACAATATGGTCATAATTAGCATAATTCTGTAAATACAAAAAATATGACCACCAATGCTTTATACAAGTTTCACGTTCAGGTTTGACAAGGTCTTGGTAAATAGGACCGTCACCTAAATGTGCCAAAACCGTTGTTACTATCAAATAAGCTGAAGCTGCTACAGGAGTTATCCTAAAAATATTTGAAATTTACTTTATATTTTCAAAATCTTTATTCTAGTTACCTTATGTATCTATGAAAAATCAACATTGGAATTCTTCGAACGTGGTTCAACAAGTTTGTAGGTTTCAGTTTCAAATATTGGTAGGCAAATAATAATCCGGATAGAAAAAAGAACGAGTCCACATCCAAATAACTTCTCATGATGTAGATTGATTTCCAGCTTTTTTTAAACTATGATTAAATAATGTTTGCTCTACAACTAGTAATAATATATATTGGCTTACATTGTCTATAAATTCGATATCATAGCCCGGTATAGCCTCCATAGAAACGTAAGCATGTCCGACTACAATGTAAAACATGGCAACTACACGTATTCCATGTAAAACTCCTATTTGTTCTCTGGATCTTTCAGATGTGCTGAAGATCTTTTTGCTATTGTGAAGCACTGAGAAAGCTTCGATGAAAAGATTTTTATGATCTGAAACACAGTTGTGAGTGATCAATGAAACTATTTCATAATAATCATAATGTGGCAAAACTTATAGAATCATGGTCATGGTACCTTTATCTACTACTTAACTTACCCTTTTTCGTATAACAGTAAATGACTTCAAGCAGGGTGGCTAATACTAAAACCAGAAAAAGTGCAGCAAAGAGAGAACTAAAAATCATTTCATCTGAATATTCAAGTATAAATTGTTTTTCCACTTTACTTACATTACTGCATAATCATCCCATCCCAACTGCTTATAAGAGTTTTTGGTTTGACAATTAAAGTCATTAAACAGTGGATAAATATCAGTTAAATTCAACATTTCCAATAAATCCATTGCAGAACATTGATCTGGGATGCATGTTGCTAGTTTATAAGCTTTCTACAACCCAAAAATGTAATCTTCAATTGTACTGAATGTTCTAAAGCTTACCTCAATTAAATCAGAATCATTTAAGGGTGTAGTTGGAATAATTAATCCATTTAAACAATACTTTCCCAGAATATTTGTCTCATTTTGTGTTACATCTAGTTCAACACATTCATCAAAACTGCCTAAATCTATTTTAGTTCTTACAAGCATTCCAGTATAAGGAAATTTTGAGTTGGCATCCAGCACTGAAATTATTTGAAAATAATTACAAGTAAAAATAATCACACACTTATTACTTCTGATAAGATTTTTCTGATCATTGCAAATAACTTCCAGTTGCCTTGCACACGAAGTGGTCCAGTTTTGATTTCTTATTGCATTACATGCCTTCTCGAGATTAATTTCGTCCAAAATATTTTGAGGATTATCCAAAAACAGAAAATCTATCAACCCCAAGTTATCGATTATGTCTATTATAGAAAGATTACTTTGGGCACTTGCACTATTCGCGTATAACAAAAATAAACCAAGAAATAGTGTGGAAATCTTCATTGTTTCATAAGCAACATTTAAAATTGTACTGAAAATTAATTATATTCAATTGAATTAAAAAGATGTTGATTTTTCTGTGTGTGCATAGGTATTAGGTATTATTTTAACTAGAACTTACACAATTTGCTGGTTATCTTTTCTCAAAATGGTTTATTTGTAAAAATAGTGAAAGATAGAAAAGGTCTCGAAAGGTGAGAGCAACATCCATTTTGACTAATATGTAATATTGACTTTTTTTGATGGTAAACATCAGGATTAAGTATAGCATCATTATTTATAAGAGAAAACATTTCTATTATTTATTTACTTGCAGTTTATAAACCTAAACTGTTTCATTATATTTTTTGCCTTAGGCAAGTTTTTCCAAACAATTGAAATTACAGGCAATCAACATTTAATTTAATCATCAGATTACTTGTGGCGGTCAATTCTAGAACAATTGCAGACTCTGAGAGCTGAAGCTGCAAAAAGCTAAAGAAAATTTTAAGCGAGAGCATTGGATCTAGTGCAAATAAAATAAATGTAATATAAAAACGAACTACTTTATTTAAGATATGATAACAAAATTCAAGAACAAGATTAAGTTCCAGGGTATTGTTTATTATAACTATAGTATAATAATTATATGATGATTGAACACCTCGAAAAAGATAAACAATAAATCTATACTCATTTTGCACTCCTACAAGAAAGTACTATCTACACAGTCGCCAATTAGGAATAAAATAAAACTAAACATTACACAAGGACAATCATAAATCACCACGTATAAATAAACATAAAAATATTGTTATTGTAATAATTGTTTTCTATATACCTTGTAACGTTTCTAGAGAAACTTAATATTTAATTTACTGTTTAAACGACATACAAACACGTTAAAAGTTATTAATTAATATATTTAATTGAAATATTTATTCTGCTTGATTAACAACAGCGCTTTTTCCTTTTTCATATTCAAGCACCGAATCCAAATTGACAATGCTCAATTCCAAAATACCTTTGCCAGCAAATTGACCGAATTTAGCTTCAGACTCTGGATTTGCTGAACGTTTGGTTACTAAAAATAATTGCACAATATTGTAACTCTATATATATTATAAGTTCACTACTAACCTCCTCCAACGTATTTTTCCAATCTATAAATAGGCATACTCTGGCATTCGTTTGCAATATATTGACCAATATCGGTAGTGTCTGTAATAGGGGGAGTGATAACTCTCATGGATTCTCTGACAACTTCAGTATCGACTTTGTAGTAACCGTCCCACATCTTATGGACCAAATCGAAAAGGGAACTTGGAGGCAATACGTTGCCTCTGTTCAAAGGCATAACGAAACATCTTCCTCCTAAGAAAATAATTTTTTTATTTATTTATTCCTTTATAATTCATCAATCCATAAATGAAATTCAAATCTCAACCCTGGAAGTGAAAGAAGCTATACAACGCCTAAAACCTGACTCAAGCTCAGGACCTGGATAACCTTCCACCATTTTTTTTTTTTAACTGTATTGACTATATTGCGCAGCTTGTGGCAAATATTTTCAACTACTGCATGAATTCAGGGACTCTACCACTTGCTTGGAAGAATGCTATTGTAATTTCCATCTATAAGAGTGGAAATAAATGCAGTGCCAACAACTACAGACCGATAAGCCTAACAAGTCACAAGTGCAAATGTCTGGAACGAGTTATTGTGAAACACCTAACCAGCTTTCTAACCGAACATAATTATAATTCCATCCACTCAACATGGTTTCCTCAGTGGGAGGTCCGTTACAACAAACCTTCTTTTATGCTTAGATGATTGGACTAAAAATTTTAACGAGGGAAATCCTATTGATATTATATATCTGGACTACAATAAAGCATTCGACAAGGTTCCCCACAGAAGACTTTTGGCTAAACTGGAGCACTATGGTGTTAGGGGCAGTTCACTGAGGCTCATTAGGTTTTCTAACCAACAGAGGCTACTGAGTCAGAGTAAATGGAATCCTGTCCCAGGAGCACAAATTAGTGAGCGGAGTGCCCCAGTGATAGGTATTAGAACCGCTCTTATTTCTGGTGTATATTAGTGACCTCTAGAATAAAATAACTTCCTCAATATCATTTTTTGCTGATGATACAAAGCTGTACACAAAACCATTGAAAAACATTAACGACCTACAGAGAGACCATGAGGAGATTAAAAACTGGACAGATACCTGGAAGATGAAGTATAGCCCCAAACAACCCACAAACTACCTTCTATCTAAATCAAAGGGTAAACTACCATCCCAGAATTGGTGCTAACAATTCCTCAAAGGGGAATTTTTTAAGCATAATTCCTCAAAATTCCTGTGAATTCCTCCAAATACTTTCAGATACTCTATCACAAATTCCTCCAAATTAGTCCAAATACCCTACCACGAACTTCTCCAAATACCCCACAAATTCCTCTGAAAAAAAGGAAAATTTTGAAACGTTTTGCATGTAAAGAGGAAGGTGAGAAGATCATTTTACCAAAATTTAAAATTTTTCCAGCGGAAAAAAGCAACATGAAAGATCTTGGAAATCAACCTACACAAACTTAATTAGTTGAAAATACAGTCTCCCACATTTCAAAGTTTTCCTGGAAAACTAGTGAAGGGAAAATTTTGAAACTTTTTGCATGTGAAGAGGAAGGTGAGAACATCATTTTCCCAAAATTTCAAATTTTTCCAGTGGAAAACAGCAACATGAAGAATCTTGGAAATCAACCTACAAAAACTGAATTAGTTGAAAATACAGTCTAGCACATTTCAAAGTTTTCCTGGAAAACTAGTGAAGGGAAAATTTTGAAACTTTTTGCATGTAAAGAAAAAGGTGAGAAGCTCATTTTCCCAAAATTTAAAATTTTTCAGTGGAAAACAGCAACATGAGGAATATTGGAAATCAACCTACAATAACTGAATTAATTGAAAATTCAGTCTCACATATTTCAAAGTTTTCCTGGAAAACTAGTGAAGGGAAAGTCTTGAAACTTTTTGCTAGTAAAGAAGAAGGTGAGAAGCTCATTTTCACAAAATTTTAAAAAATTTCAGTGGAAAACAGCAACATGAGGAATATTGGAAATCAATCTACAATAACTGAATTAGTTGAAAATACAGTCTCACACATTTCAAAGTTTTCCTGGAAAACTACTGAAGGGAAAATTTTGAAACTATTTGCATGTAAAGAAGAAGGTGATAAGCTCATTTTCCCAAAGTTTGAAATTTTTTCGGTGGAAAACAGCAACATGAGGAATATGGGAAATCAACCTACAATAACTGAATTAATTGAAAATACAGTCTCACATATTTCAAAGTTTTCCTGGAAAACTAGTGAGGGGAAAAATTTGAAACTTTTTGCACGTAAAGAAGAAGGTGAGAAGCTCATTTTCCCAAAATTTAAATTTTTTTCAGTGGAAAACAGCAACATGAGGAATATTGGAAACCAACCTACAATAACTGAATTAGTTGAAAATATAGTCTCAGACATTTCAAAGTTTTCCTGGAAAATTACTGAAGGGAAAATTTTGAAACTTTTTGCATTCAAAGAAGAAGGTGAAAAGTTCATTTTCCCAAAGTTTAAAATTTTTCCAGTGGAAAACAGCAACATGGGGTATATTGGAAATCAACTTACAATAACTAGATTAATTGAAAATACAGTCTCACACATTTCAAAGTTTTCCTGGAAAACTAGTGGAGAGAAAATTTTGAAACTTTTTGCATGTAAAGAAAAAGGTGAGAAGCTCATTTTCCCAAAATTTGAATTTTTTTCAGTGGAAAACAGCAACATGAGGAATATTTGAAATCAACTTACAATAACTGAATTAATTGAAAATACATTCCCACATATTTCAAAGTTTTCCTGGAAAACTAGTGAAGGGAAAATTTTGAAACTTTTTGCACGTAAAGAGGAAAGTGAGAAGCTCATTTTCCCAAAATTTCAAATTTTTCTAGTAGAAAACAGCAACATAAAAAATCTTGGAAATCAACCTACAAAAACTGAATTAGTTCAAAATATAGTCTCACACATTTCAAATTTTTCCTGGAAAACTAGTGAAGGAAAAATTTTAAAACTTTTTGCACGTAAAGAAGAAGGTGAGAAGCTCATGTTCCCAAAATTTAAAATTTTTTCAGTGGAAAACAGCAACATGAGGAATATTGAAAATCAACCTACAAAAACTGAATTAGTTAAAAATACAGTCTCACACATTTCAAAGTCTTCCTGGAAAACTAGTGAAGGGAAAATTTTGAAACTTTTTGCATGTAAAGAAGAAGGTGAGAAGCTCATTTTCCCAAAATTTAAAATGTTTTCAACAGCAACATGAGGAATATTGGAAATCAACCTACAATACCTGAATTAGTTGAAAATACAGTCTCACATATTTCAAAGTTTTCCTGGAAAACTAGAAAAGGGAAAATTTTGAAACTTTTTGCATGTAAAGAAGAAGGTGAGAAGCTGATTTCCCCAAAGTTTAAAATTTTTTCAGTGGAAAACAGCAACATGAGGAATATTGGAAATCAACCTACAATAACTGAATTAATTGAAAATACAGTCTCACATATTTCAAAGTTTTCCTGGAAAACTAGTGAGGGGAAAAATTTGAAACTTTTTGCACGTAAAGAAGAAGGTGAGAAGCTCATTTTCCCAAAATTTAAATTTTTTTCAGTGGAAAACAGCAACATGAGGAATATTGGAAACCAACCTACAATAACTGAATTAGTTGAAAATACAGTCTCAGACATTTCAAAGTTTACCTGGAAAATTACTGAAGGGAAAATTTTGAAACTTTTTGCATTCAAAGAAGAAGGTGAAAAGTTCATTTTCCCAAAGTTTAAAATTTTTCCAGTGGAAAACAGCAACATGAGGTATATTGGAAATCAACTTACAATAACTAAATTAATTGAAAATACAGTCTCACACATTTCAAAGTTTTCCTGGAAAACTAGTGGAGAGAAAATTTTGAAACTTTTTGCATGTAAAGAAAAAGGTGAGAAGCTCATTTTCCCAAAATTTGAAATTTTTTCAGTGGAAAACAGCAACATGAGGAATATTTGAAATCAACTTACAATAACTGAATTAATTGAAAATACAGTCCCACATATTTCAAAGTTTTCCTGGAAAACTAGTGAAGGGAAAATTTTGAAACTTTTTGCACGTAAAGAGGAAAGTGAGAAGCTCATTTTCCCAAAATTTCAAATTTTTCTAGTAGAAAACAGCAACATAAAAAATCTTGGAAATCAACCTACAAAAACTGAATTAGTTCAAAATATAGTCTCACACATTTCAAATTTTTCCTGGAAAACTAGTGAAGGAAAAATTTTGAAACTTTTTGCATGTAAAGAAGAAGGTGAGAAGCTCATTTTCCCAAAATTTAAAATGTTTTCAGTGGAAAACAGCAACATGAGGAATATTGGAAATCAACCTACAATACCTGAATTAGTTGAAAATACAGTCTCACATATTTCAAAGTTTTCCTGGAAAACTAGAAAAGGGAAAATTTTGAAACTTTTTGCATGTAAAGAGGAAGGTGAGAAGCTCATTTTCCCAAAATTTCAATTTTTTTCAGTTGAAAATAACAACATGAAAAATCTTGGAAATCAGCCTACAAAAACTGTATTCATTATTTTTTTGAATTTTTTAAATTTGACAATTTCCTCTAAATTCCTCATAAATTCCTCACAAATTCTCCTAAATTCCCCATGAATTCCTCCAAATTCCCTATAAATTTCCCAAATTCTCATAAATTCGGATGAGTTCCTTCAAATTCCCACAAATTCCTCTAAATTTCCACAAATTCCTCTAAATTCCCCACATTTTTGGCAAATAATTCCTAGATGGTTTGCCCTTTGATCTAAATGCAGTTTCCCTACAGCATACAAATCAACAAAGACCTTGGAGTTATTATAATGAGTGACCTCAAATGGGAACCCCACATAAATAAAATTGTCAAGCAGGCAAATGCCATAATAAACATATAAGTGTAGAAATGCATTCAAAAACCTTTTTGTGGAAATAATTGAAAACTATACATAACCTACATAAGGTATAGACTTGAATTTGCACACTCAGCATGGAATTCTTACTTTGTTGGTGACATACAATTGCTGGAAAGGCTGCAGCGTAGAGTAACCAAAATACCACCGGAATTAGGAGATCTGCCCTATCCTGAAAAGTTAAAAATATTTGGTCTACCAACACTAAGAGAAAGACGATCTAGAGGAGATATAATTGAAACCTACAAAATTCTAAACAGTATTTAACCAACTCCGAGACCACACCAAAAAACTGTATGAAGAAAAAAACAACAGGCTGCCAAGAAAAAACTTTATTTCAAATAGAGTAGTATACATATGGAATGCCCTGAGTGAGACAACTGTTGCTAAACCAAATATAAACTTGTTCAAAGTGCCATTGGATAATGAAAATAGAAACCTAGCAGATCAATTGGTGCACTTCAATAAATCGCAAAGGCTTATCTGAAATCTGAAATCCGTGACAACCTCTAAATTTGTGATCTTAACATTGTTGCCCGAGATAAACATGTAAATTGGTAGAATTTAACTGTGATAGAAACTGCAAAACAAATAGATTTTAAAAGTTAGTCTAAAACTATGTGTAAAAAAACGTAACCCTACGCCTACTATTGGGGCAATAAAACGATATGTTTATTTAGGTGACAATTATGCTCATAAAACCTCATTATGGGGCCTCAAATTTAGTTGAAACCTTATGACAAGACTCTAAATTCATTACAGTAAGTGTTTAAGAGAGTTGGGAAAAAGAAAAGGATTAAAAGACCAAGATTTTCTATGACTTCGTGAAACCTTAAACTATAAGAACAAGTCAAATGCGACATTTTAACTGTAATTTTTTAATTTCAACACCTTTAACTTCTCAGGCCACTCAGGCAAGTGGAAATCACCAGGATTTTGTATTACTTAATAGGTTCTATTTAGCTCTATTCATTTTTACCTAAAAATGGCCAATAAAAGGGGATTATTCGTTACCTGTTACATCAATAATTCCAGTATAGTTGGTGTTAAAGTCGTGGATGAAACGTCCGTTGCGGCCGTTTCTGAAATCCGGAACGTCGATTTTTTCGTATTTGTTTGACGCGTCGATTTGGAAGTTTTCCTGGAAGAAGTTCCTGTTCAGGATCCGTTTCCAGTCGTCATTGTCGTTCCACTTTTTCAAGTCCTGATCGTTCAACATTTTTACGGTATCATCTTCGGTGATGTCTTCGTAGTCGTCTTCCATTTGCGGTCTGGATGAGGAAAAATGTATTTATTTTTCATTTCAAACTTTTCATGTAATTATTATTGGAGAAACCACATAAGATTATGGGACTATGCTCATAAACGTCCATATAACCTTGTGATTTACTTATTGATTCAAATTATCTTGGCAAAATTGCATGTTTACCAAGTTACTATTTATTTTACTAAACTACTTGCTAACTATAAAAATCAGTTATGGGATATTTCGCGCCAAAATAGAAAATGGTAAAAATAAATTCTTATTTATTAGAAGCAGTAAACAGTGATTAAAAAATTTCAAACAAATAAGATTGTATAACATGCTATCAATAAATAATTAAAGTCAGCAACAACGCTTTATGTTTTTAGATAAATATTCTAAATAAAACCAGCTGGAAGCTTCAACTGACTAGCTATACATTCTAATAATTTGAACTTTAACCAAATTGCATCATGTAATAATAATAGCCGTGTTGACTATTATAAAAAACATAATATAATAATAATTTAATCCAAAGCAAAATAAGTTTGAAGTAAATTACAAATCATACTCACAATGGAATTCGTACCCAACCTTGAGACCGTTCGTAAGCATCTTGGATAGGGATTCTTCGGGTAACACTGAGGTATTCATTGTACAGGATCTTGCCGCCGATGATTCCTACGCTGACTCCTGCCAAAGCGATAATCAAAAGGCATAAGATGGTAGAGGAAGACACCCGTCTGGCGTGAGCTGGAAAAATTATGATGCGGCGGTGGACGTTCTGGCCTTCGACGTCCACATCAGGAGCAGTCTAAATATTAAAAAAAAAATATGTGTTCAATTTCATAATTATTCTTTAACCTGAGGATTTTATGTTTTGTTAGGAAAGTTTCAAACAGAGAACATAGATTACTTATAAAAAATTAGAAAAATATCTTTGAACAATTCAATTTTTGAAGTATCTATGTCTCAAATCCTCTAATAAATTTATCATTGATCAAAATATTCCAAAAAAGAAGAATAGAATATATAATTTTCATACCAAACCAGTGCATCATGACAATAATAATAATAATTGTGTCTAAGCCGCAATAATAAAAGTGTCCAAAGATTAGATTAGAATGTATTTATTATTTATTATCAACAAAGCTTTGTTGAATTTATTCTTTTCACTTATTTCGATGAATATATTTAAAAATTCTATTAGTCATCAAACAATATTTTCCACATTACTTTACGTGACTTTTTTTTTGTTTTTAAATAAATACGAATGACAATGCTTTAATTACTGTTGTTAAACTATCCGTACCCTATGTGACCATGCATGATACAGGAAATTATTAGAAAGTTTTTTTTCTAAATTTGCAGTAGTACGTGCAATACAAAGTACAAAAATATAAATATTTTATTAACGAACTTGTCATTTTACAGGTCTTCAATATTAAAAATGGTTTTTCTAATATTTACAGAAAATTTTCGTATTCTTTATGTGCAATATATCATTACTTAATGGTTGAAAAAGCCCTAAAACTTGGAAAAAAAAATGTTTTTCTTTTAAATTTGTTATTTAATATCTAGATAGATTTAATTTTCTCCTTGAAGCTATTAAGACCTATACAAAATAAATCAATAATGCCGATGTTGGTTAAAACATTGTTTCCTAGCCCACAAAATCTGGATATTGGAGCATTGAACCCATAGTTGGTACGATGATGTTGTACATGAAAAAGCCTAGAATTTCTAACATTAAGATTTCTGGGCACATGAAAGCCAATAAGAGATAACAACTCAGGTGATTGCATAATACCATTAACAATTTACAGAGATCCTGCTGATCTCTACGTTTTTCAAGGGTTTGCAAATTTAAAAGTGATAAAATTTCATTATAATTGATGGAGTCGTGTTCAATTCCCAGTTTGAAAGCTACCATATTTCTCAAAAAAATTTTTTGCTACCCTTTCTATGCTGAGTTTATGTATTTTGTGAAACAGAGACTATAAAGGGCTTGCATACTCTAGAATGTCTAGAACCTGTCTTACTATGGCGAAATAAACATTACGAATGGTGTATAAATTATTGAAATCTCCAAGACTATGCAGGACAAAGCCTAACAGTTTCATCGCTCTATTTGATATTCTTTCAATATGTTCATTAGAGTTCAACTCAACATCACGAAAAACACCAAGATCCCTAATAACATATACCCTCTCAAGGTGTTCCCATCAATAACATAATCAAAAATAAAAGAATTTTTATTGCGGTTGAATGACATAATCTTACATTTAAAGCCAAGTTACAAGTTATATTACACCACTGAGAAAAGTGGCCTAACTCATCCTGAAGAATGTGACAGTCGTCCAGCTTATTGACAATTCAAAAAATTTTCTTATCATCAGCAAAATTTAAGAAAGTACAACCTTTGAATATTCTTTTTACATCATTCAGATAAATATTAAAAAGAAGCGGTGATAGGTGTCCCCCTTGGGGAACACCAGAGGTAGCATTAATTTCTGATGAAAGATAATTCTCAATTTCAACCTTCAGTTTTCTGTGTGTTAAATGATTCAAAAGCCATTTATGTAAAATTCCGTGAAAACCTATAGCAGTTAGTTCCTGAGAAAGAGTAGAATGATCAACTTTATCAAATGCCTTGGAGAAATCGGTATAAATAACATCTACCTGATACCCCTCCTCCAAGGCACCCAACAGAGGCTGTTCAAAGACCAACAAGTTGGATACCTTAGACTTCCCCTTCACAAAACCAAGTTGCTCTGATATAAATATATTCTTGAAAAATGGTGTTATTTTATCAGTGACAATTGCTTCAAAAATCTTTGAAAATAATGAAATTTTTGATATTGGCCTGTAGTTGAGAATGTTACTTGTATCTCCGCTTTTGAAAATAGTGGTTACATGGCTTGTTTTCCACATATTTGGGAAGATGCCGAGAGCTAGTGATTGCTTAGAGATTTTAGTTAAAATATAAGACAGAATACAGATACATTTTTTCATAAAATAAACCAAAATACCATCTGGTCCACACCCCAATTTAGGCTTCAAATGTGAAATTTTGTCATAAACATCCATTATATTAATTTTTATGTTATCTAAAGCCTCGTCTAAAGCTGAGTTCGGAATGGTAGAAAGTGTCGACAGTTTTTACACTATTGACACTGTGGCGTTCGTTAATTGGTAAGAGTAAGTTTGGTGTACACTTTATTTGCCTTTGGAAATGATTTGGTGTCCAAATAGTGTAAAGATGGTGGGACACCGTTTACTCGTTACAAAGTGATGGTGTATTTGGTGTTACACCGCCGATTACACCTTCATCACGTGATACAACACTGCACTACACGAACACCGCACTAGCACTACACTAAAATCCCATTCCGAACTCAACTTAAGTTGACTGTTAGGTCATATGACAATTGACAAATCTAAGAGTTTCAAGGATCATAAGCAGTATAAACTGAAAAAAATTGCTGCCTGAACAACTCAGCCATAGCTTAAGGTGTATCAGCTATTTAATCACCCAAAGACCTAATATGACATATTTGGGACTTTCTGGGAAAACTCACCTTGATAAAATTTGTGGAAGAATGCATCGAAACTTGGGAGAAAAATTGATAATAAACCAAAGAAAATCACTAAAATTTGACAACAATTTGTTAATCAAATTTGATTTAAATAAATATAATGAAATGTCAAGATGACCAGGTGCCAGGGTTGATAAAAAATTGTGATTTTGTTTAAAAAAAAAAAACAAGAAATTGATGACTGAGTAAAACTCTATTAAAAAAATCAATTTTTAATTGGTCAAATTGCTTGAAATTATTACTAAAAGAAAAAAATGTTACTTTGCCATGCCTTTTTGATTTATTTTGAATATTGCCAGGATTTTCAAACGTCTAGGATTGAACTATTTGCTGAGGACACCCTTATTCACCTACTTCATCCGAACCTGTGTTGACTTTATTATAGATTAATTTGGAAATGAAAATCCTTGAAAAATGGTCAATAAATATATTATTCTGTTGTTCTTGGGTATTATGTGGACCAATGAAACCAAGTGGTTTTGTTTTTTTAGCTATGTTTCGACAAATTTATTTTTTTCTTCAGGCTGTAACCAATCGAAACAGGAAAAATTTAGCAATAATAAATAAATAATTTTCAGATAAAAGGAGAAAAAATTTATAATTGCATCTCTGAGCCACGCACACTCAGTATTCTTTGATAAAAAGACCCTACTCAATAAATCCTGAAAATTTTAGAAAAATTGCATATCTGTAAAACCAAACTTCAGGATTTGGCAATAGTGTGAAAAAAAAAACCACCAGAACAAACCACATCTCGTTATCTTTTATCTTTTTCCAGAAATTTACCTGCAAAATGTATCAGTTTATCTAAGGACACCCTATATTATAGATAAAATTGATACATATAACAAAATTCTCTATGTGCTTTCAACTATTCTACTACATCAAATTCTCCTAATTGCGTCCTGTATGATATAGGGTGTGGAAATCTTGGATAAAAACCTCGATAAAAACCATGTTTTTTAAGAAAGAGATAGGCTTTTTGAAAAAGACTTTTGATAAACTCAGGTAATGCAATCGGAGGGATAAAAACGCAATCTGTAATTTGATTGGTTGGCCAGTTATCTGCCAACCAATAGTATTGTACCTAGATTGGGAAATTTATCTTGCAGATAGTTTATCTGTTTATCTGAAAATGAAAAACCCGTGCCTTACAATGGTTCAATTATTTACTCAATATCAGAAAAAATACACAAAAAAACAGCAACCAAGGAAATTACGACAATCAAAAAATAAATAGGGCAAATACGTGTGTTGAAGAATTTTTAAGTAGAATACCAATTTAAATACTTAATTGTCCTAATTTAAGTAACGATTAGTCAGCTTTTTACATAGTTAAACAAATATTTGATTCTCTCATTAAATAAGTTGAAGGCAAATTCCAATTTTAGATAACAACACAAAAGATTGAACAATGCAGTTTTCCTTCTCCCTATCCTGACATCGAGTATACCTATTTTGTATTTCAAATGCAAGCTAAATTTAGATAGGAAGGATATTTTCCCTTAAGATGGGAATCATACAATGAAAATCACCTTATATTAAAGTTCAATGTTGCATGCAAATTAATTAGTTTTTTCCTTTTCGAATGTAGTTATCGTTAAACTTGTAACAAGATACCTTGTACTTGAACTCAAAATCGAAAAAAAAAAACCATAATGGCAAACTTACCGCAGCAGGATCGTTTTCCACCAAAGGAACTACAAGTTTGTCCTTTTTCTCGGAAAATGCTTTTGTTAAAATCGTCATTTTGAGATTAAACAGGAATTCCTGATTCCTGTAGAAAAATTGGTTCCACTAAATTCTCAATAATCACTTGAATCCAATCACTTCTTGATTATGTCTGGGAATCAATAACAAACGCCCCTCTCTCTCCAAGTGTTTGACAAGAATGACATTGATATGACGACATGTCAAGAAATAGCTCTCAAAAATTGACATTACTTTTTGAGTGTGTTCGATAAAACATCAAATGGGTTCTGTGCATTGGCTCTGGCCTCTGTGCCTTCGCTTAAAATTTTTATTTATTTCTACTTTTTCCGAAGTATTTAAAATATTAGAAATTTTTCATTGTTGTTATTAGTTGTATTCCTTTCAAGAGCTTGAAACACTCGAGCTACTCGCTTCGGTGCTTAGTCGCCCCCGATTTGCAGGGAACATATGCGTGGTGCAACAAACACATTTCGAAAGGAATAAGCGCGTGAAGCCCCGGAGCTGTTCCGGAGCTCCTCCTAGGTGTGAAAGGAATACAACTACAGTGAAAACTTTTTTGGGTAGTGAATGAGATTGAGCCGTCACGCCCGAATTGTTAACGCTCATGCAGTCGGATAGAGTCGGCTGATGACGTCATCAGATGGTTCTTAAGCCTAGTTCTCATGCAGCGGAAAATCGCGTAGCGGACGCGGAATTTTATCAAAATTTGTCCCGCAGCAAGAAATGTCAAGTTTTTTTGATATAAAGTTAAACTAATTTTTAACTTTTGCGCGAGTTTTTATTTCCTGCCACTTTTTACTGTCACCTGTGAGATGTATGGTACATTTGATAAAAATCAAATATAATGTGAAATACCCTAAATCTAAAAATCCGCTTCCGGAATCTCGCTTTATGTGAACCGGCAAAAATTACTTCTTGAACGGAAAGTGATATATTATTCCGCACCCGCAACGTGATTTTCCTCTCTATGAGAACTAGGCTTGTTGGAGATTTGCATTATGTTTACAAGGATAATACACACTGCTAATACAAGATAGCTTATCCTCATAAAGCCTGTGTAGATCAATTCTCAAGCCCCCCACCCCACCTCGCTAAAGAACCAGTGATGACGTAACCAGCGTGTCGTTTCTCGCCTTGACGTAGGGTGTTTGCGAAGGGTGTTGCACCACAGATTAGGATTCCGCGGGCTTCTGCTTTATGCATACTTGGTTTTAGTACATCTAGTTAACATTCTATGTATTCATCTTCCTCTTTGCCTATTGTTAATCAAAATTAACACTTTCACGACCACGCGTCACACATATGTGACAAGCCGTTTTTGCCAGGAACTGATGTCACACAAGAGTGACAATGACCCTACAATGATTGAATGCAAATAACTCTCGGGTGGTTCAACGGCGACAGATGTGTTTTGGCATCAGTTTCTAGGACTGTTTGGCACACATTTGTGTCGCATGGTTTCAGGATTGAATAATCTGTTTCAGTCATAAGCTTGTGGCAGCTGTGGTTCAAATCTCGATTCATATCGTCTCCCAAGTAATGCGGATTTCTGATGTTTCTAGACTCTCCTACTGGAGTTTGACGTTACAAGGTAACACTCACTGGATATTGAACAATATAATTATCGCCTATACAGCGTAGCCGAGAGTCTAGAACAGCTAAAGTGTGTTTTTTTTTTAAAGATAAAAGTCAAATTGACATTATGTTGGCAATACCATGTAAAATTGTCAATGCTTTCAAATTTTTTATGTAGAAAAGGCTTGTGTTGCCAACATAGTTACTAAATTTTTGACTTGGGGAATTATCTTTAAAAAAAAAAACAAACTTTAACAGTTTATGTCGCATATGTGTGTCGCACGGAACACATATAACCTGTGAAAATATATAATTTCTGTCAAAAGTTATGCTACCCAAAAAAACGCGGTTGGTTTCGAGCATCGTCAAATTTCATAATAGCGGTCGTGAAAGTGTTAAATATTTATTATTCTCCAAAAACCGTACAATGTACCGACACGATTCTGCGCAACACGTAACATTTTTGCGTTGAATCCGAAATTCGTATCTGTGGTTCCGATATCGTTCATGGGACGGTTTTTTGACTTGCTGGAACAGACCTTATAGCTCTGTTCCGACAGACATGAGAACCGTTTCAGAACCAGTAATTTCCAGTTGCTCACCCATTTTTCAATAAGTTGAACGTTTTTTCTAAATACTTGACAAATGAATTGATCGACTGGAAATTACCGTTCTAGAACAGTTTTCATGTCGTTTGGAACCTCGTTGGAACAGAGCTACAATATGGCCGCGATTCCCAAAAACGAGGCCGAAAAGCAATCGTGTAGTAGTGTGTATTATCCATGGTAAAAAAAAATAGGTACATGTTCAGGCATATAGATGACGTCATGAAAGTTATCAGGCAACCAAACAACCTTGATCCAAACCAAGGGTCCTATGGTTAAACCAATGGGTTAAACCAAATCCAAGCAGCAGTAATGACATTAACTGGCCATTTTCATTACAACCTATCAAATGCCTCCGTGCATGTGCATTGGTCCAGGTAGGGCGTTTCAACCGTTTGAACCAATATGAAGGCTGGTGTATGTTTATAATTTAGGTTATTTAGGGCGGGTATTATAAAACTGCTTTGACAGTTAACTTGAAGTTAACTATTTGAATTACATGTAATTCCATAAGTTAACTCTCAAATTTTAGTGTCATTTACTGCCGCTTGGATTTGGATGGGTTACTTGATGACTTCATCTGGGGTGCCTTTTTATGGAGATTTGCATTATGTTGAGGCACCCCAGATCACGTCATAGAAGTTATCAGGCAACCTAATAGGCAATTTTTTACGAGGATAATAGAATACTTACATGGAAAATTAAATTGATTATTGTTTATTGCAAACTGTAGGAAATCGAAAAAAAATTGATGCGTGTTTTTTTATTTTGTCCAAATATAATTATTTCGAAAGTTACCTATACAAATATTGAGTTTTGTATTTATAGATATACTGAGCATGTCGACGTCACAACAAGTTATGACGTCAGAAGGACATTTCAAAGCATTGTATCTCCGTTAATTTTTGACTAACAAGAAAAAGAAAAAACACTTGTTGACTTAGTTTTCATGGACTATCGAAATTAGCATTAAAAAAAATTTGATGCAAGGGGCCTATTAAACATAATCTGATTATGCTCAAATGTAACGTGTCATATACTCCTCTAACTCCCTCCTCATCCAAGTCTGGGCCTGCGAGTGACGTCACTATCAGCTTCTTATAGTGATGGCGTAACCCGCAGATGGAATGCTTGCGATTCACTCTGAGCTAGTGAGTTAATTTTTCCGTCGATTTTAAATCTAATTGCTAATAGGTCTGTTCGCACAGAAATCACAAACCAGTCAGAGTAAATTTCATGGGTTAAAACATTCAAAACATTCAATATGGCGGCAAAGGACAACATTTGTGACAGAAAAATTGTAAATATACTTTTTCCCCCAAAAAAAAAAAAAAAAAAAACGCTTATTTTTGAAAATAATTTTATTTGAAAATCGAATTTTTGGAACTTCTGCGTAAACGCGGGCTAGGACTGTGACTTTAGAGTCCCAAAAACGCGAGGATGCCGAATTTCTCATTAGTAAATCATTTCAAAACATTGACTGCGTCCAATTAAGTATTGTACTATGAAGCCTAAGCCTACTAAACTTATTCAATGTCTCGGATCCCACTACCGAGAACCTATTTGCGTCCTTAACTATGCTATAAAAAAATAAAGGAAAGGTGTAATCAGTGAACTCTTAGGTACCTAGTACAATATGAACCTAATGTTTGTCTTCAAGTTGCCAAATCTTTCTTAAAATCTGTGTCTCTAGAAACCATTAGGAATAGAGATAAATGTTAATTTTTACGATCATTAAAAAAACCTTAAGAAAAGAAGAAACAAAGCATTACATAATAATATGTAATATAGTTCTAGATTTATATACGTATATATGTATTGGTTACATCATTACCTATATAAAATGCCAAAATTTCAAAAATTCAATTTGTACTATGGACGTTTCCACCAACTACCTATTTAAGGGAAGCCTCAACGATAAGTATTCCTTAAACTAACATTTCTCTATGGAAAACTTCCATTTTAACGAATACTTATCCTTGAAGGCTTCCCTAAGGACCAAATTTATAGTCGTTCCTTGAGTCTTCCTTGGGGTCGTGAGTTTAGAATAGATACTTGCCTACTATTTGACAAGTTGGTCATGTGGTCATGTCAATTCTAAACCTTCAAGGCTTCCTTAGGCTCAGGGAAAACCTCAAGGAGCGACAAATTCGGCCCTAAAAATCGTTGATGGAAACGGGAAACAGAGTACCTAACTAATAGAAAAAATGTGCCATCCATGCTAACATGTTGGTTGAATGGAAATTTCGCATTTTTAACGTGACTATAGGTCTGTTCTCACAGATATCACAAACCAGTCAGAAAACTGTTGGTTGGCGATTTGCACCAATCCAACACGCTCTGACTTGTTTGGTTTGTGATTTCTGTGAGAAACTCAATGGTGAGAACAGACCTAACAAGTGCATGAATATCGGCTTCAGCGTCAAATACTGTTCATTCTCTGTTGCAATTAAGTCCCTATCTACGTCAAAAAATATCTTAATTTGTCATATTCCCGGCACGTGAAAAAGAAAGTGACCTATTATTTGAAGGAAATTTATAGTATTTTACATTATTAGCCAGGTAAAACAGTTTTTACTGGCGATTGAAGGAAATGACTAGCGAGCCGCCAGGCGAGCTTGTCACCTTCAAGAGCCAGTAAAAACTGCTACCTGGCGTATAATGTACAATAATTTATTTGTTACTCATTTGTAAAAGATATAGGGACAAATAAAAAATCAATACATAACAAAAATTTGAAATTTATATGTTTTTCCTTGATTTTTTCTCACAGAAGTTTTGGTAGTTGGTATAACTATGAGAATGATACGTTGTTAAGACGTTGTTTCTAGTTATAAATAGGTTTTTTGACAGATTTCCATTTTGCAATTTTTTTCCAGAAATGAATTTATTACAAGATATTATTAATGAAGCCTCAGTCGTAGCCAACAGTTTATCACCAGAAAAGTCTCCCAGAAGGTACCTACAAGCAATTATTCTTGTGATAAAACCGATTTTTCAAAAATAAATAATTCTACTGACTTGTAAAAAGTTTTTACAGTTTAGCTGTCAATTTTACAAGTCAGTAGAGCCAGTAGCTTGTAAAAATCAATTTTCGCTGGTTATGTTTTGACTTGATAAGTGACGTTTTACAAATGAGTGACAAATAAATGCATTTTTTCATTTCCAGATAAAAAATTATTCCAAATTAGGAAAAAATAAAACTCCTTAGCATCACTATAACTATAACTACATTATTTTCAATATAATCAAATAAAGAACCTTACAAGATAGGTGTAAAATATATTTTTTTTCTAAATCTAAGCTAATTCCTAATAAGGGAACACAATTATCTATACAGGGTGTCCCAAAAAGATACCGACAAACTTTAAGGGGTAGTAGGGGACATTAAAACAAGCATTTTTGTTTATATAAACATATGTCCGCAAATGAGCCATTTGGGCTGTAGATCAAAAAAACTGTTCGGTACTTTTATTCTTTGCAATAATTAAATCACTGTTTATTCATTAATTTTGCTTTATTGACAAATAAATAATTGTTAGAAATATTTTTTCAGGTAATGACCAACGTGAATACAGGAACACTACGGTCCCTGTTTGGTCTGACTGGTCAACGAAGTTCAATTTTGCTTGGACAGGGAGCTTCAGCCTATGTCCTTCTGATGAGTCCTAACAAGGACGAAACGCGTCAAGGATTGGCACGGGAAGCCTGAGTCCACTGCTCAGTGGGCCGATTCCCAAACAGGGACCGTAGTGTTCCTGTATTCACGTTGGTCATTACCTGAAAAAATATTTCTAACAATTTCCATTGCCAACGAAAGCTCAGACCAATCAGTGTAGTTCAACGCCGGTAGGGGTATTTGCCCTCGGAGTAGTTGTTTCTGACTGGTCAACGAAGTTCAAATAAATAATTGTTCAAAATGTTGACCATTTACTTCAATGTAAAGATTGCACCGTCGGGTCATCGGAATATTCCGGAAATAGCTTCTACATGGGTACAACTCGCCAATATCCTTGCTAACAGATTTTCGTCATTATGAACAGGTGTTTCGTAGACTAAACTTTTCAGTCAATGACCTGACGGTGCAATCTTTGAATTGAAGTAAATGGTCAACATTTTGAACAATTATTGTAAACCATAATTTATTTATTAATAAAGCAAAATTAATAAGTAAACAGTGAGTTGCGAAGAATAAAAGTACCAAACAGTTTTTTTGCTCTACAGCCCAAATGGCTCATTTGTGGACATATGTTTATATAAACAAAATTGCTTGTTTTGATGTCCCCTACTACCCCTTAAAGTTTGTCGGTATCTTTTTGGGACACCCTGTAGTGTATTGATAAACGGAAAAAAATAATACAATTTTTTTTTGTACATATTTGCATATTTTTAAGTATTTTTGATAGTTAGATAATAAATTATTAGAATCCTTCATTCACATTTTTCACCTTCTATTTCTGGTTCAGCAACAGTATCCTGTCTAAACATTTCCACGTCAGCTTCGCTATCCGCTTTTGCCAGTATCCCTTTACCATTAGGCTGTAGAAATTAATCAAAGTTTCAAAAAGTTAAGTTTTAAACAAGTAGTTACCTTTGGGTGCATCAAAACAAACGGCAACTCGGCAGACAATTCACCACCCAACGCACCAAGATACAATTTGACTTTGACCGCGTATGACACGATTATGCCAAATGCGTCTCTTTGATCTGGTGTAGCCAATCTAGAATCAAATTTATTATAATACAATATCTTAGGGATGCACCTACAACTTATTGGCTGAAAAGTTTAGGTTTTTGTTAATGTATGACAATCTGGCAATACAGCATGTGTTTCACTTGTGGATTTCGGATCCCCAACAACAAAGATTCAGTAGGCGATTGTGGTCTGGATTAGAGGAACAATAAGGGCGAATTTTGTGAAGACTTTTGATCTATCAAAGACGATGGAATAGGATCAGAATGCAACCAACATCTTAATAGACAAGTTTCCAATATTACTGCTGCAGAAGACATTAAAGAACATTGGTCTAATATCGAAAGCTTCTAATGAAACTTTAAACAATGCATATCCACTAAAAGAAATGTAAAAATGAATGGATGACCAGTAGAACTTATGGAGGGACGTAGACAGTGTATAATTCTAAGCAACTCACGGTTACAGACAATTACAAAAGAAAATTCGCAATGAAATAAGAGCTACAAATGAAAAGTATTTACAAGAAGCTGGGAACTTGAATCTTTCACCCCCAGAAAAAATAGCTTAACTATATAAGAAGATAGTAATTAGTCAAATCAGGGACGAACAGATGAAGTCATACTGAAGTTTTCCAGTCTACAACTCTGGAACATTTCAAAGAGATTGGCTTTGCCTCATTTAATTATGATACATTTTCGATGACTACAAAAAATCAGTATTATGTATTATGCTTCTATCTGGTCCCTCCAATATGATGAGAGAATATCCCTAAATCTATAAGTATTTATTACAAAAATATCTTACAGTGTTGTCGATGCCAAATTGGTATCGAGTTTCTTCAGCTGACCATCGAGGGCAATACCACGACGTTCTTTATTCGACGACAGCAACGGTAATAGAAATATGACTTTTTGAAGACTGGAGCCTGGATTTATTGGACATCCTTCCCTAATCAACACAAATTAGATTAGACTTATACACAAGAATATATTACTCACTGAGTCTCAATACTAGCAACAGTTGTTCGATATTGGCCATTTTGAAACAGTACCACATCGACGCCTTGTTGTACCATAGCTTTAAGTTTCTTGACGACTTTATTGCTGTTGTTCCTGATACAAATATTGACCGCTATCTTTTCGCCGTGATGATAAAGCTGTTTGTCCAAAGTAACTTCCAATTCTAGTTCGCCAGGGCTCATCATAAAGTCTTTACGGACGACCGTGCACGGTTGTCTGCCTTGTTTCGACGGCGCGTATTGGACTTTTCTGATGGCCATGGATACGGTGCTACGTTTGTGGGTTCGGTCGGTTTCGTTTTCTCCTATGAAGAGTTTCACGTAGTAGTGGACGCCGCATGGTTGACCTTCATCGTCTGAACCTGAAAAGAAATTTTTCATTAAATTTTTAATAATCGGTAGTAGGAGTTTATACCTGGTTGTAATGTTACAGATGCAGGTGCACTCGGTGGTAAAGTGAACCTAAAAGGAAAGCAATTCGGTCCCAGTTTCCTCATAAGTCGCTCTTGTAGTTTGGTGGCTTCGCCTTTATCTGGGGGCGGGTAAACTTGCTCGGAAGCCAAGAAAAGGTCTTTTTGGAAATTAAGTCCCATGACTTCGTCCTCTTCACGTCCATAGCGGAAGCTGCAAATTATTTGACCAAATATTTTCCGGTCTTTGTAATCTTCGTCCAGGACTACGACTCCGTCTAAATGAAAAATGTCAGTAAATTGTATTTAATCGAAAGTTTGCTTACCAATCGGTTCTACTCCCGAAATATGATCCACAAAATCCCTCTTGCCCAAATACATGGTAATTTTGCCATTTGGAGACTGTTTTTTGTAAACGCGGAAATTGAACACCATTTTTGTGAGTAGCTACACTTACTACTAGTTTGATGTGGATTACGTAGCTTGTGCCTTGAGATTTTATATAGGTTTCACTAAGGTTTCTTTCGAAATCCGATTAGCAGAGTATTTATATGTAGACGTGGGTATTTTTTCAAGAAAGCTCCCACACAAGCGGGATTAAATTAAATCAAATTAGCAAAAATTGTCTGATGGTGTTAATTTGTTTAAGTTTTTTGTTAACGAAATAGAATTTATATAATTAAATATTATATTCCACTGTTTATTGAGTAGTGACATCGTGTGATGCCCTGCCCATAGAAATAACAAAACAAAGATACAATGATTTCCTTATTGCCTTGTGTCACAAACATGTCCTTAGTCTGCTATAATTTACATACAGCATTACAATAAAATATGGCATAATATTATTATTATACCCAGATATTTGATCTTCCAGCTTAAAAGTTAAAATAGAATGGTTTGGGACAAGGAAAAATCAATTTCTAGCTATTTTTAATGATAATTGAAAACACGTACAGCGCTCTTATTGTATAACGATACTAAATGATTGCTAAAAATGCCAGAAAACTATTGGTGCTCGATATCAAAATCTATGATGGAATTTGCAGAATCTGAATATCGAAACGATACATATAGATCACAATATAAAATAAATCAATAGTTAAATTAAATCAAAAAATTTAATCCTAAAATATTCTCAAATAATTAGCTTCTCTTAACATATCCCTAAGAATATTCTTAATATTTTTACTACAATAAAATCTTGAAGTCCTATTTTCAGAATACACGCAAAGTTCAATAAAGTCAAATAAAGTTTTTGTATCCAAATTTGATGGTGGAGAGTGCAATAAACCGTTTTTCATCATCGGCCATGGTGACATTGAAGAAAGTAAAAGCTAAAATTATTTAAATAATTAATAAGCACCATATGTCAATAATAAACTTACCCTACAAACAGAATAAACATTATGATCACTAAGGTGGCTATCGCATATGTCTTTCCTAATAAATCCATATTCATCATTAAAATGCTCACTATAGTGAAACAAACTATCTGAAATCAATATTTATGAGTTTATTAAAATCAAATTTTTTAACTCAAACAAACCTTTATTAGTCTTTTGTTGCAATATCCCATGTTCCAAATCAACAAACGAAACTTTTAAATTCCCTGGATCAACTACAATATTATCTGGAGAAATATCAGTCAAATACAAGCGAAATTCTTCATGATCGGATGTAAACTTTTCTGAAGCATTTAATATTTGTAATGCAATGTAAGCTCTGTCCAACCAGCTTAAATGTTCCATGTCGTTTAAAGGTTTTCCAGCATTTTCCATTACGGCTGCACGTCCGCAATAGCCCAAAAATTTCGGTACTGGCCAACTATTTTGTTGTTTGAAAATTTCCAATAATATTGGTTCAGCATTTATATTGAATATAGTCCAAAGATTTGTTAATTCCTTATTGGGAAATTTATCAATTAATAAATTGCCTGTAGTGGTATTACATACATGGAAATTTGTTCCATTTATTAGGAGTTTTATTATGTTTTCAATTGTAATTTTTTGTTTATTTAATTCAAAAAATTCGTTTTTATCTGCAAGCTTTTTTATAACAATATTTTCTTGATTATACGTGGCAAAGTAAACATTTTTGACACTAATTAAATTAAATATCACATCAACTAATGAATTATATTGTAGTGATATATTTTCAAATTTATCGCAGTAATCGGTGCCGTAGCAAAAAGGACAAGTGTGGAGTTCAGTAAGTTGTGTAACATTCAAGTTGAAGAATGTATAGATTAAAATGGAGACTATTAGAAAGATTAGGGAAAGCCACAAGTTCATTTTATTCCTTTTTCCAGCCTTGCTGCAACGCTTTTTGACGGTACGAGTACAGGTCTTTTATCCACTTTTCTAAACGAGCCTCTGGATTTAAGAAGAGCTGAAAATAATAAAATACATTTAGTAGGTATGATGATCGGTGGCAAAATAACAATTTAGCAACAATGATCTGGATTGAAGATTCTAAAGAAATTGAAAAGCTTTAGATATTCAAGACTGCTCAGTTTAAAGCCTTTAAAGGCTGTAAGAATCTTAGAAATTTCAGAAGTTTTCAAGGTTCATGACTTAAGAGTCAAATACTCCAATGTACAAAACTGAAGGATAGAAATCAAAAACTTTGTAGTCTCATTATTCAAGATTTTCGGAGAGATACTATAGAGATAAATAGCCTGCTTGTTCAAGGACTCTAAATTCAAGAACTTAGCTTTTAAAGCCGCTCAGAAGCTCAGACATATCAAAGATTCTAAAGCTTTTCAAACTCTTGAAAAATTCTAAAGACTGTAAATGAATCTGGATTCTTCGGTTTATATGACTGAATGAAAACTCTGGATATCAAAAAAATTCTTACAAGTGTCATAGGATTCATGACATAAAACTGAAGACCCTAAAGATTCTGGAGATTCTGAGTGCTTTGTGCTCTGGAGACTTTTTTCTCAATATTTTAAAATGAAGAAATTCAGATTCTGTTGATTCAAGGCTAAAGTCTTTGAGGATTTGGAAGAGGCCAGAAAATATACCTAAAGACTTTAAAAATTCTTCAGTTAGGGAATCAGGTCTCGACTCAAAGCTGTTGAAGATTGGCATACACACACTAGTTTGCAAAGAATTTAATTGGCTTAAATTAGTGCTTAATTCTTAATTACATTGAAATCGGATGAAAATTAACGAAGCTGTGAGGCAAAAACTGTCTCAGTGTCATTTTTGGAAAATTTTCAATGTTTAATTTAATTTTAAAGCTTCTCAGGTGCAAAACCAAGGGGAAAACCACCTAGGAATTGTTGAATTTGGAGAAATTTATGGGGAATTTGGAGGAATTTGTGAGGAATTTAAAGGAAATTGTAGGGTCATGACGTCACTGAGGTTCACATTTTTATTATAAGAAACACTAATAATAGGAAATTTAGAATCTAGTTTTGTGTTGGACGTTGGACATTTACTTTTATTAAAAAAATTCTCCCAAAATTTCACTTCATGATTTACAGGTCCAAATTTAAAAAATTTAAAAGAATGAGTACAGTTTTTGTAGGCTGATTGCCAAGATTCTTCATGTTGAAATTTTCCACTGGAAAATTTTGAAATTTTTGTGAAAATGAGCTTCTCACCTTCCTCTTTACATGCAAAAAGATTCAAATTTTTCCCTTCAGTAAGTACCTAGTTTTCCAGGAAAACTTTGAAATGTGTGAGACGGTATTTTCAACTATGTAATTTAGTTTTTGTAGGCTGATTGCCAAGATTCTTCATATTGCTATTTTTCACTGCAAAAATTTGAAATTTCGGGAAAATAAGTCTCTAACCTTCCTCTTTATATACAAAAAGTTTCAAATTTTTCTCTCCAACAGTTTTTCAGGAAAACTTTGAAATATGTGAGACAGTATTTTCAATTGATTCAATTATTGTGGGTTGATTTTCAAGATTCTTTATGCTGTTATTTTTCAAGGGAAAAATTTGAATTGTGTGAGATTGTATGAACAATTATTTTAGTTTTTGTAAGTTGATTTCCAAGATTCCTCATGTTGTTATTTCCCAATGGAAAAATTTCAAATTATGGGAAAATGAGCCTCTAACTTTCCTCTTCACATGCAAAAAGTTTCAAATTTTTCCTTCACTAGCTTTCCAGGAAAACTTTGAATTGTGTGAGACTGTATTTTCAATTAATTCAGCTTTTGTAGGTTGATTTCCAAGATTCTTCATGTTGCTAATTTTCACTGGAAAAATTTGAAATTTTGGGAAAACGAGCTTTCAACCTTTCTCCTCACATGCAAAAAAAAAAAATTTCCTTTCTCTAGTTTTCCAAGACAACTTTGAAATGTGTGAGACTGTATTTTTAATTAATTCAGTTATTGTAGGTTGATTTCCAAGATTCTTCATGTTGTCATTTTCCACTGGAAAAATTTGAAATTTTGGGAAAATGAGCTTTTCACCATTCCATTTACATGCAAAAAGTTCCAAATTTTTGCCTTTACTAGTTTTCCAGGAAAACTTTGAATTGTGTGAGACTGTATTTTTAATTAATTCAGTTATGGTAAATTGACTTCCAAGATTCTTTATGTTGTTATTTTCCGCTGGAAAAATTTAAAATTTTGGGAAAATGAGCTTCTCACCTTCCTCTTTACATGCAAAAAGTTTCAAAATTTTTCCTTCACTAGCTTTCCAGGAAAACTTTGAAATGTGTGAGACTGTATTTTTAATTAATTCAGTTATTGGAGGTTGATTTCCAAGATTCTTCATGTTGTTTTTTTCCACAAAAAAAAAATGAAATTTTGGGAAAATAAGCCTCTGACCTTCTTCTTTACATGTAGAGTTTCAAAATTTTCCCTTAATTAGTTTTCGAGGAAAACTTTGAATTGCATGAGACTGTATTAACAATTATTCCAGTTTTTGTAAGTTAGTTTCCACGATTTTTCAAGTTGTTATTTTCCAATGGAAAAATTGGAAATTATGGGAAAATAAGCCTCTAACCTTCCTCTCCACATGCAAAAAGTTTAAAATTTTTCCCTTCACTAGTATTCCAGGAAAACTTTGAAATGTGTGAGACTGTATTTTCAATTAATTCAGCTTTTGCAAAGAAACTTCAAGCTACTTGAAGTTGATACAAGTTTATAGGTATTCGAATCGAAGTATATATCCTAGCATCATATTATGGAAGAAAGGCTGAACGTTGAAAAAAGGGTTTACTTATTTCCAAATTATTGAAAAGGGAATAAGACACATTCGTATGGTCTACTCTGCCTAACTATGCTGAGGTTCAGATTAAATTTATTGTTTATGGTCCTGCAAACCTGTTCAACTTTCAGGAAAAGGTCCTACAATATACCTACCCTAAATATTTTAACGGACAATACCTACCTATATTATTCAAAAAGTAGCTACATGACATGTATTATACTTGGTATTATACAGTATGATATTTGTTATGCGGGTTAAGGTTAGTTTAAACCTCTTATTAGAATTAGAAAAATAATTTTTTCATCACAAGCAATTATGGGGATTTTCAGGGAATTTGTAAGAGACATAATTTGTGGGCAATTTGAGAGGAGTTTGGAGGAATTTGCAGGGAATTTAGAAGAATTTGTGGGATATTTGTGGTGGGGTATTTGAAGGAATTTATGATGGGGTATCTGGAGGAATTTGTGGGAAATTTGAAGGAATTTGCGGGAATTTCGAAGAATTTTGTGTAAAAAATTCCCCTTTGAGGAATTGTTTGCACAAATTCTGGGGGGTGGTTTAACCCTTGTGCAAAACTGTTGAAGCAAATACATATACAGCTAAGTAAAACAAAGCAAATACAGCTAACAAAAACAAAGCAAAAACCTCGACAATAACAACACAAAAAATATGACAATGACCCGCAAAAACCCAAAAACCCAATAGAAATGTTCACAAATCTGGGTTTTTGCCAACTCTGGAAGATTTCAAAAACTTCCAAATGTTTTGGGGCTCAAGACTAAAGATTTTGGATATAAAACACCGACCAAAACCCATAATAATGCTTGAAGTAAAAGGCAATTTAACACTACATAGTTCAATTTTGTGGTGTCTCATGGAAAGTTTTAGGATTAGAACATCCAAAAGTTCTAAATATTTCAAATAAAAGACTTTGATGATTTTTTCAAGATTTTAGAATTTTTTTACACTACAGACTGGAGTCATAGGAGATTCTTAAAGGAAAGACATTGAGAAAGTTGGAATACTCAAGATTGTCAGTCTATTGATTTAAAGCCTCTAAAGGCCTCATAGAGATCTCGAAGGTTTTTAAGGCTTATGAATGATTGACTTAGGATTCAAATTCTATACTTTAAAGGTTGGAAATTGAAAAATTTGTAGGTTCCAGAGTATCATTGTATCATTATTCCAGATTTTAGAATATCGACTATTAAGACCCTGTTTATTTGAGAGTTAATATATTTTTCCTGTAATATGACTGGACTATTAATGGGGTCAGGATCAAGGTCATGCGACGAAGAACTGCGCAATATCCCATAAGTGCAATGATAAAAACATCCTGCCTCCAGTGCCTTGGCTTTCTCCCTTTACCTGCTTTTACAGCGTTGCCACTCATGACATAATTATCGTATCTTTACTCAAATAAAATATAGGTACACAACGATAAATGCAATTACTATTATACAGTTTTTCTGGACACGATTTGATGTTTTTTTATGGAGTGGCCCTTTATTTCAAGAAATCCCGTTATTCCCGTTTACACTACATTATTCGGAATAATTAGAGAAAGCTGAGACATATCGAGTAGTCGAAGATGACAATATGGATATTCATTTTGAAACACGTGTGATTCCATTTTACATAATACTATTTTGAAAATTTTTTTTATAAATATTGCAACCAGGAAAAGTCAATAATTTTGGCAGCATTGCACTTTGCCTGTTTCTGTTTGGCCCAGCGTTTTTCATTGCTCATTATATTCATTCATATTTTAGTATGTTTTTGACTTCTTTCAGGTGCGGCAGGTCCTTGAAATTTTAAGTAAAGTGTCTCAAAAAAACATGTCCTACTCAAAATACCAAGACGATCAAGAAGCCGCAAGGTGCGGCACTTTTCACGACTATCACGACGATTGCAATTGCGGCGGCTACAAACACGTAGATCGTGACGAATGTTTCAACTGTTCCGGCGGCTCTCCCAATACGTTTTATTGCCCGGAATGCAATTCCCAACAAAGGGGAAGAGACTATGATGGGCGATGCTATCAGTGCCTGAAAAGGGCCAACAGTCAAACCACTGCTGCTGGACAGTACACGCCCGAAAAAAAATATTATTCTTCTCAGCAATCACAATATTCTCCGTATCCTTATCAGCAATATTCTCCTGATTATAAGGGACAGTCATCTCAAAATTGGAGTAAGTATTCCTTCAATAATATACATTGTTCAAATGCAATAAACTTGTTGAGATTTGCAGTTTTAATCGTGACATTTTGCCTTATCAGCATTCATTTTAATAGGCATCTATAAATAGTTTTTGTCACTTTGAAGCAATTTTGCAATGCATGCAACTTGAACTTACATGTATGTAATATATTTAATATTCAATTTTTTTTTTAAACTAGATAATGGAGGAACTCATTTTTCCAATTACCATGACCAATGTCAGTGTGGACGTAGGAAAGTGAGGGACAGAGAAGTGTGCTCATCATGCTCTGGAGGAAATGCCACTCAATTCTATTGTCCGGGTTGTCAAAGCACCAAAAAAGGTTGGAAGTACGACGGAGTTTGCTATGACTGTCAATTTCGTCAATAGAAGGCCAAACTCCTACGATTGGCTCATCAAAAATTTATACTTGTTAAAAATACTATAGTTTTTATAATATGTATTATTATTATTACATATTCACTAGATATATGTATTATTATATCCTATTCTAAGTTGTAAGTTGAAAAGCATGTATTCTTTTTTATATATTTTATATTTTTCTATTCTTACATATTATAAAATTTATAATATATACCCAAAGAAAAATAATTAAATAAATAAATTGGTATGTATTTACATGCAAATATTGTGTTTTAATTTTTGAACAAAAATTAAATCTTAAAGGCGCTTAAGTCTAAAAGTAGTTAATTTTTCATAACACTAATATGCAATTTATATTTGTTATGTACCCAGTGAAACACTATACAGGCAGTATCCCTACCTAAAAATTGATCAGTTGAAGATGTTTGAGCAGTCAAAACTTATGTACAATTACAATCCAAGGCGTTTGACACGGTCGACCATATAATTCTGGGAAAAAAGCTGGAAAGTATGGGGTTTCAAGGATCATTTGTGAGGTGGGTGATTGACCATCAAGGGGCAAACCACCTAGGAATTCTTTGCCAAAAATGTAGGGAATTTAGAGGAATTTGTGAAGAATTTGTAGGAATTCATCCGAATTTCTGGGGAATTTGGGAGAATTTGTGAGGAATTTATGAGGAATTTAAAGAAAATTGTGAAATTTAAAAAATTCAAAAGAATAACGAATACAGTTTTTGTAGGTAGGTTGATTCCCAAGATTTTTATCATCTCACTGTTTTTCACCGGAAAAATTTGAAATTTTGAAAAAATGATCTTCTCATCTTCCTTTTTACATGCAAAAAGTTTCAAAATTTTCCCTTCACTAGTTTTCTAGGAAAACTTTGAAATGTGTGAGACTGTATTTTCAATTAATTCAGTTATTGTAGGTTGATTTCCAAGATTCCTTATGTTGTAATTTTGTACTGGAAAAATTTGAAATTTTGGGAAAATGAGCTTCTTACCTTTCTCTTTACATGCAAAAAGTTTCAAAATTTTCCCTTCACTAGTTTTCTAAGAAAACTTTTAAATGTGTCAAACTGTATTTTCAATTGATTCAGTTATTGTAGGTTGATTTCCAATATTCCTCATGTTGTTATTTTCCACTGGAAAAATTTGAAATTTTGGGAAAATGACCCTTCAACCTTTCTACTCTTCACATGCAGAGAGTTTCAAATTTTTGCCTTCACTAGTTTTCCAGGAAAACTTTTAAATGTGTGAGACTGTATTTTCAATTAATTCAGTTATTGTAGGTTGATTTCTAATATTTCTTATGTTGCTATTTTCCAATGAAAAAATTTGAAATTTTGGGAAAATGAGCTTCTCACTTTCCTCTTTACATGCAGAAAGTTTCAAAATTTAAAATTTTCCTTTCATTAGATTTCCATTAAAACTTTGAAATGTGTGAGACTGTATTTTCAATTAATTCAATTATTGTCAGTTGATTTCCAATATTCCTCATGTTATTTTCCACTGAAAAAAATTGAAATTTGGAGAAAATGAACTTCTCACCTTCCTCTTTACATGCAAAAAGTTTCAAAATTTTCCCTTCTCTAGTTTTTCAGGAAAACTTTGAATATGTGATACTGTATTTTCAAATAATTCAGTTATTGTAGGTTGATTTCCAATATTCCTCATTTTGTTATTTTTTACTGGAAAAATCTAAAACTTTGGGAAAATGAGCTGCTCACCTTCTTCTTTACATGCAAAAAGTTTCAAAATTTCCCCTTTACTAGTTTTCTAGGAAAACTTTGAAATGTGTGAGACTGTATTTTCAACTAATTCAGTTTTTGTAGGTTGATTTCCAAAAGTTTTCATGTTGCTGTTTTTCATTGGACATATTTGAAACTTCAGGAAAATGAATTTCTCACCTTACTTTTTACATGCAAAAAGTTTCAAAATTTTCCCTTCACTAGTTTTCCAGGAAAACTTTGAAATGTGGGAGACTGTATTTTCAACTAATTCAGTTTGTGTAGGTTGATTTCCAAGATTTTTAATGTTGCTGTTTTCCACTGGAAAATTTTGAAATTTTGGGAAAATGAGCTTTTCAGCTTCCTCTTTACATGCAGAAAGTTTCAAAATTTTCCCTTCTTTAGTTTTCCAGGAAAACTTTAAAATATGTGAGACTGTATTTTCAACTAATTCAGTTTTTGTAGGTTGACTTCCAAGATTTTTCATGTTGCTGTTTTCTACTGGAAAAATTTGAAATTTTGGGAAAATGAGCGTGTCACCTTCCTCTTTACTTACATGCAAAAAGTTTCAAAATTTTCCCTTCAGTAATTTTCCAGGAGAACTCTGAAATTTGTGAGACTGTATTTTCAATTAATTCAGTTATTGTAGGTTGATTTCTGAGATTCTTCATATTGTTATTTTCCAATAGAAAAATTTGAAATTTTGGGAAAATAAGCTTCTCATCTTCCTCTTTACATACAAAAAGTTTCAAATTTTTCCTTTCTCTAGTTTTCCAAGACAACTTTGAAATGTGTGAGACTGTATTTTTAATTAATTCAGTTATTGTAGGTTGATTTCCAAGATTCTTCATGTTGTCATTTTCCACTGGAAAAATTTGAAATTTTGGGAAAATGAGCTTTTCACCATTCCATTTACATGCAAAAAGTTCCAAAATTTTTCCTTCACTAGTTTTCCAGGAAAACTTTGAAATGTGTGAGACTTTTTTTTAAATTAATTCAGTTTTTGAAGGTTGATTTCCAAGATTCTTCATGTTGCTGTTTTCCACTGGAAAAATTTGATATTTTCGGGAAAATGAGCTTCTCATCTTCCTCTTTACATGCAAAGAGTTTCAAAATTTTCCCTTCTCTAGTTTTCCAGGAAAACTTTGAATTTTGTGAGACAGTAATTTTTATTAATTCAGTTATTGTAGGTTGATTTCTGAGATTCTTCATATTGTTATTTTTCACTAGAAAAATTTGAAATTTTGGGAAAATGAGCTTCTCATCTTCCTCTTTACATACAAATAGTTTCAAAATTTTCCTTTTAGTTTTCCAGGAAAACTTTGAATTGACATGTGTAAGACTGTATTTTCAATTAATTCAGTTATTGTAGGTTAATTTTCAAGATTCCTCAGGTTGTTATTTTCTACTGGAAAAATTTGAATTGAAATCTTTTAAAAAGTAGCTACATGATGTGTATTATTCTTGGTATTATACTGTAGGTATTATATTTGTTTTAACTTCCTAAAAAGGTTTTTTTTTTATCAATTAGGTAATAATATCAAATGCGGGTTTGGGTTAGTTTAAACCCCTGCATTCTGGATCACGAAAACCAATCATTAGTTCTAGCTCTAAAGTCAACTAACGTAACCTTGCATTGGATCCTACTCTCGATCCTACTTGAGAAGCAGTTTATCATCGTATCGTTTATCATTGTATTTTTACTAGACGAAATAAAAATAGAAAAAATAAATTTCTTAACACAAGCAATTATGGGGATTTTCAGGGAATTTGCAGGGAATTTAGGTAAAGGAATTTGTGGGGTGTTTGGAGAAATTTGTGCTGGGGTGGAGAAATTTGTGATTTGGTATCTGGAGGATTTTGCGGGGAATTTGGGAGAATTTGCAGGAATTTCGAGGAATTATGCGTAAAAAATTCCCCTTTGAGGAATTGTTTGCACAAATTATGGGATGGTGGTTTATCCCTTGGTCATTAGTCATGACTATTAATTATGATGATATGTTAAAACTTTTAAACATGCAAACTCTAATCCAAAGGAGATCAGCAGGGGTGCGATTTTCAAAACCATTCGAGTACATTTCGTACACGAAACTTGACTGACAGCAATGTAAATTAAATGGGGAGCAGTCAAATTTCGTGTACGAAATGTAGTCGAATGGTTTCAAAAATTGCACCCCAGGACCTGTGTATTCTGTTCAAACTGGTGAATAATATAATCCAGTCACCTTAGCTCTTATCTTTGGTTGGTTTAAATGTACCACATAACCGAGCACATAACATAAGAAACAATAGACTTTTATATGTACAATATCATCATACTAATTATGGGTACAATTTCCCTAATACTAGATTTTTAAGACTGGCAAATGCTGTGATAAATAAATTGAATGTGGATCTTTTTAATATTGGACTGGAAGGTTTCAGAAGACAAATCAAATTGATCTTACGATTGTTTCTGTTAATGGTTTTTTTCTTGTTTGTAAAAATCACCACTCTTTTAAACTTCTTATAGATTAAGATTTTACCGAGGATTTTACCTACTGTAAAATGGCTTGTCTGTAAATAAAAATTCTATTTTTCTATTCTATGTATACCTATAATTTGTGTTTTAAATGGTATTCAATTTTGAAATTTTGTAATTTTTCTAGTGACATATGTAAACACACTGTGTAATTAACATGAATAAATTATTATTATTATTGTTCGTCTATTTTAATCTGATACTCGGACTGAATGTGAGCTGGTGGCTCCCTACATTAGAACTCCAAATCTTTTTTTTCTATATGACACACCCCCTCGCTCCTCATACCGCAAGTGTCAGTTAAAAATCGATGAACAATAAATCTCAAAGGCACTAAAGTCTAAAAGTAGTCAATTTTTCATTACAATAATATGCTCTAACTTAGACAAAATACTGTGAAGATTAATAAGTACACTTACCCCATTATGGAAAATACTGTCGTCAGGTTCAGTTAGTTCCACTTCAGGCACCTTAATAGTTTGTCTATTAAGATCAATAACAATATTATCCAACAACTTATTGGATTTAGTAGAATTAAACTGTTTTGGAACAAATTTATCCTCGTTAATTTGCTCTAGAGTTTTACTGTCTACAATTATACAGTCGTCAGGCTCTTCCTGATTAGTTTTAACAGTAGTGCTGCTTGTTTTTGATTTGTTTTTTGACGATTTTACTGTAAATGAATAATATTAATTCAAAACAAAATATATACCTAATATTCTTACTTGAGTCTGTTTTACTACTGCGATTCCTCTCTACTTCATAATTATTAGAATTAGATGAGCTAGAAGAAGATCGTCTCTTGGGTTTGGAGCTATATTCTCTAATATAAGATTTTGATCTTGACCGTCTGGAACGATACCTGTCCCTGGATTTAGAACGACGGTGCTTGTCTCTAGAAGTACTCCGGCGATATTTTGATCTATCGCGAGAATCTGATCTGTGGGACTTTGATTTTGATGAATAGGAGCCGCTTCTTGATCGCCTACAAGTTTAAATAATTATACTAATAGGTTTGAATTGTTCCAAGTTAAAAAAAATTACCGGGTTCTGGAATAACGATCCTTGCTTCTTGATCTGCGATGTGACTTTTTGGTGCTGCGCCGATTTCTTCTCGAATCTGAAGAATCACTGGACGATGATCTGGATTGCAAACGAGTAAAGAGAAAAAGGCAAATTTGTATGCTGTTAAATAGGAAATTGATTCATAAAATTCAAAATTCACCTGTGTCGACTTTTATTTTTCCCCAATTTACTTGATCGCTTATCGTTGTCTGAATCACTCGAATACTTTCCCATAGTTTAAATGAATGTAAAAATATACGGCATATTCAATTTTTTACATTAATTTTTCCCCAAAATGAAATTTGAAATCAAAACAACAAAGTGGCAACCGCATTTCACTTAACCTCACTTTTTGTTTGTTTTGTTTGGGTGTGTCAAATTCAATGCATTCAACGGACGTTAATTCAAATGTTTTTTCGATTAGGAAATTTTCTCATTGAAAAAATATGGTTTTGCAGTCATAGCGGTATTTAGCCTGAACTTTGTTTATTGAAAAATGAATAAAGAGCGATTTTTATTCATAAAATGCATATTTACTCCTTAAAACTATGCTCAAGTTTTGTTGCGCCATCTATCGTTGTTTATTCGTTTCATTCCTGTCATTATTGTCAATTTAGTGAATTTGTCAATTTTTCTTTCAGGATCTTTCAGACTTTTCAAGGCAAAAAACTAATTAACTTTATTGTTGTCCGAAATTAAACAAGAAATTGTTTAAATTTATTCAAATTTATGGTGCTCACATATCCACTTATGTATAATTTTAGAATATGTCTAGCCTAAAAACTGGTGAGTGCCCGTAATTTTTATTGTTTTGTATGTATTATGTATGTATTTAGATAGTAGTCCCACCCCCAGGTGCAGAATCTGCCTGTGGGTTTATTTTTTTTAAAATATTTCCTACAGGAATAAATTAGTTTTTCGCATAAATTCATATGAAAGAAAATTTCTTGTTTAAATTGCATGCATTTATTCAATACATTTCATATATTAATAGTTAATTGATTGAAAATCATTAGATAGTATGTTTACCCTAATTTACCTCATTATCTATTTTTAAAAAGTTCAATTTTATGTCTTGAGTAATGCGAACTTCTGTGAATGATATAGATAGCATTAGAATCACCGCATCATTTTTTTACTCGAGTCCTAAGCAGTGTTTGAAATTAATTCACCAGATTATATCTTTACCATTGACCTTCCCTAATAATTACATATTTCCCTAAGCTGTAGGAATTTGAAAGGATAATACAGCTGGTGTGAGAACATTACTTAATAAAACAAACTAATTGACTTGAATACAATTCTTGTTCGAGGCTCGTAAAATTAAATCATAAAGCTAACTGAGAAAGGCATTAAACTTTTTTAAATGTAAACATTTTTCTTAATTAATGGTAAAGTTTCAATTTTGGATGTTCAGATATACAGATGAACCCAGAATAATACGAATTGTCTATAGTTTGCTTTGAATTATTCAATTTGTCCAAGGTTGGTGAAAATCCGGCTCATTATTTCATAGTGGATAGAGAAATGGATTTTTGGTTTGATTTATTTGTGTTTTTGATCTACATTTATTTTTATGTACCTAGGTATTATACTTAACTATCTAATATTTCCAAAAAAATAACAACTAGTTATGGGTTTCACAATTTTCATTTATTTTTCTCTCTGTGGAAGCAGTATTCTCAAAAAACAGCTTTTTATTTGCCCTTTTTTTAAACATTTGGTTGGAATTTCCAATAATCAGTGATATTCTTTCAGTCTTGTTTCAAGAGGGAAAAATAATCCAAAACTCTCCCCTTCCAAAGTCTTTGTCCTTGGAAGCTATAAATTCCTATGAAACTCTCTACAAATTTAATTTTTGATCCAAATTTCAATTATTATCAGCTCTTGAGGAGCTGGATATTGTTTTTGGATGCTTTCAGGAGCCGGTAATAGCTCAATATTTGATAGTTACTGGCTCTTGATTTGTTAGAAATATTTTCTAGTGTTTGAAATCTTTGATTCAAATTTTAATTATTATCGGCTCTTGGGGCTTTGGAAATTTTTTCTAAAGGCCCTTATTAGCCAGTAATAGCTGAAAATTTAATAATTAGTGGCTCTTGATTTGTTGGAAATATTTTCTAGTGTTTCAAATTTTGATTTGAACCCAAATTTTAGTTATTTTTTCTTTTCTTCAAATATTTTGGTAGGATTTTGTATGGATGCTGTGTTAGTTTATATGGAAATATCTATCAAAAATCCATCCAAAAACCAAAGTGGAGGAAATTGTTTGCCATCAACCCTGTTTTTGTTTGATCTAATGGCTTGACTCTGAAAGATTTGTTTTTGTCCCTGACCATTATCAAGTGACTATCTACAAGTGTTTTTAAATTGAATTGAGGATTAATTAATTAGTGTTTCTAAATCCAAATTTAATTGTGAAATATTTATTCTTTTATTTGTAAAAATTATTGGTTTTTAAAACTTCAAATTAAAATTTGGGTTAGCACAATTGTTTGGGAATCTTGTTGCAAATGCATCAAATATGATTGAGGAACACAATAGTCGGTATTAGGAGCGCTTGTCCTCTGATACATGCTGATTTTGTTAATCACTATTTGATTTTTGTAAATGTTTATATGCTCTGGTTCCTTTTGGTTGAGAGCACAGATCCTTATTAGATTATGAATTCAAAATTATTAATAACAAACAAAAGGGTCGAAAACAGGATGAGCATTGTAGGTATACAATACAATACAATGTAGGTACCTATACATGGTAACAGAAGCATAAGTTTCAACAATACTTCACCAATAAAACTTTAACAAAGGTTTAGTCTGATATTTTGGGAAAAATCATCCACCAGCGACGTTGCAGGTAAGGGGCTCCTTAGTTTACATCCTAAATTAATAATTTACTTACTTTGGCATCCAAATTTTCCTTACAAGAGAACTACGCAACCACTCAAAGAAACTTAACAAAGAAAGATCTACTCTGCTTTTGAGAAAGAACTTCTTGATTAATAGAGTTGTATACAGATGGAACAGCCTTCAGGAATCCACTGTAAATGTACCAACCATCAACGCCTTCAAGAACGCGCTGGATAAAGAAATGGACAACTTAAAAAATCAACTTACCCACTACATGTATTCCTCAATGTAACTTTAATCCCTAATGAGAGCACAGATCCTTGTAAGTTTAATCCCTAATGCATAAATATCGCCACAGTGTATGTATAAAGATAATTCAACTGAACTCTCACATACAAAGAAAAAACCGAGGAAAAAACATTATATAATTGCATTATCGGTTTAGACCGCTTTATATTGCTCACTATAATAATAATAATAATGAAATTGAGCAAATGGGCGAGCAGGAACGGGAGGAAGATGATGTAACCATAGACCAAACCATAGCAGAAATATGGAGTTGTTATGAAGACATATCCTTGGTAAGCAGATCCAAAATCCAAAAGTTGAAGATCAATGCCCAAATCTGGAAAACTGTGAAAAAAGTTAACATGCAAATTATAAAGTATACTAGTAAAATGGAAAGAATTGAAGATACCTACCATGCTTTATATGTCGCAGCAGTTTCTGTTTGCCAATTGAATTCTATAAACCTAAAACAGAGAAAAACGATATTCAAATGGAATTCGGATTGACTACAGCACACTATATTAAAGGCAAGCTCACAGCACTACCGGACACCAGCCTGATGGACAACACAAAAATCAAAACCTTAGAGGCTTATGAATATCTGGGAATGCTGCAAGTGGGACAAATCAATGAGGGAGATAGTTAAAAATAAATACATAATAAATAAAGAGTGAGAAAAGTGGCCAGTTCATACCTACCTGCAAAAGAAAAGATATGTAATTTCAATTAATACCTGGGCATTACCAACAATAATGTACACCTACGGAGTTCCAAAATTGAATGAGAAAGACAGAGAAACAAGACAAATACTTACCAAATGTAGAATGCACCACCTATCTGCGTCCGCGATGCGATTATATATCTCCAGGAAAACAGAAAGAAGAGGCCTCGTCAATGTAAAAGAAACCTGCAAAAGACGATGTGTTAAGCATAAAAAATATTTATCAAGATGACATGATTTAAAACATACTTACCAGCTACAGGAATTCCACATACTTCCCTTTATTATCTCCTCAAATGGCCTGATGCACAAAGACTTCACTGTAAATCGCCGAAAAGTAGGAGTTTCAGAATACGTAGTCGACTGCTGTATGAAAGCAGCAATTCTTAGTACCATCCTGTTGAAGCCTTGGGTAGAAATACCCCGGCTGTAACTTAAAAAGACACCGATGTAATCGTGGAAAAAATAAATAATAATAATAATAAAAATGTTTAAGTTTAGTTTACCTATTACAATAGAAACAGGAAAATATAATTTATTATTTACTTATTGGTTCTTTTTACAAACATGATACAAAACAGTGATTACATGTAAGAGCAATTAACATAAATTAGGACAATGCATAAAAGAGGGCTAGCTAGTTAGCTTAACAGGCAATATCATCTATAACAGATATAGGATATTTTGCATTAGAGAACTACATGTCAAGCATATATGTTAGGAGTGAATCTTTAGGGTCTATTTGAAATAGGCTCGGAAATATGCTTACATTTCTTTGCCTTAAATTATTATTTGGTACTTTAAAATGTAGGTACTTATTATCATCTATTAACAGGCAATTCTTATACCTAATATTGTTTAGAATTTAATATACAGGGTGTCCCAGGTAAAAGTAACTACTCGAGTAAATAAATGGGAAAAAAGTTGCGCTATTCCAAGCCCAATCAGATGCTGTATCGAAATCGAAAATATCTACAGTTACAAAGCTATGATAACAAAACACAATTACGGCATTTGTTTCACAACCAACTGAGAGTCTGTTTTTTCAATAAATTTACATTTTCCGTTATCTAAAAGGTCTGTTATACATGGTTAAAAAGCCCTTTTATATAAGATATAAGAGATAACAAACTTGGCTACGGTTTCGAAAAACACAATTTTTAGTTTTTGCTCGATATTTTGAAAACCCCTGTGGATATTTCCAATTTCGATGCAGCATCTGATTGGGCTTGGAATAGCGCAACTTTTTTTCCATTTAACCAAAATCGTATTTCTTACCGTTTCCGAAATTTCCATGTAGTTACTTTTATGATGTGGAACACCCTGAATACACAGTGTTACATTATTGGCAGAATACAATTTTCTCATTTATTTAAAGGAAAACTTGCTTGCTTTTATTGACTGCAAGTTTACTTGATAAAATCCTCCCTAATATAACAATTTCATGTTCTGTTTTCATAAACCATAACAATTCGAAACCTTTTCAACAAGCTTTATAGGCCAAAAAGAGGAGCAGCTTGTTATTAAAAGCTGAACCATAATAAAGTCTTGCAATTCACAAGGTTCTGCTGAGTCTCAACTCCTCATGCATTCATTCATCCATTTGCGCCTTTACAATCTCACAATCCATGACAAAAACCAAGAAGTTGTAGGGCAGGAAGTTAAAACACTGATATAGATTAGGAACAAGAATGGCTCAAATGTAAAGGTTTGGGACATCCCATACTTTATAATTCTCCTCTTGGAAGTTTAGGTTCTTCAGCCAGTGTGTCATTGGAGATTTTCGAGACAGTAAAATAGATAATTAGTTGTATGTATTGATTTGAACATTTGATGGCTTTGGAGAGGTCGCAGAAGAAACTAACTCTCACAAAGGACCTCCAACGATCAAAACCAAGAAAAAAAAAATCCTTCTATCAACTATTATTAATAATCGAAACAGTAAACCAATTCTTTCTGGTTGGTTTATCACTAGAAAAACAAATCTCTGAAGGAAAAGTGGGTTTTAGAGATATTATTCAATTCATTCATATTATGATCACTTTTTCCATTTATCACTATGACTTATTATAGGTCTTTGCTTATTATTTTTTTTTTAAATCAAAACCTGAAACACCTATTAATAGATTTTTCCGAGAATATGATTGCAAAACCTAATTTTGGCATTAGAACCCATTCAAAACAGTAAATGTTAATTCCATTTAATTGTTATAGTTTAGAAGCATGTATGTTCGCTAGCACTTGGTAGTGTTGTGATTATTGTGGTCATGTTGGAGACTCGGTCAATGCGAGGAGTGCCAGGAAACCCTTGGCAAACTAGTAATAGTTACGCACCTAAAATACCTACCGAGCAAATGGCAGCTCCTAATTTTCGTTACGGTATGTATACACTTAAATTTAGATTAAAGACTTCATGACAGATTTTTTAAAAATTACATTTTGATCAGGCAAAACAAGCCAGGACGACATATGCTACGTCGTCGCAAAATATGACTATGAACATCAAGGGCCTCAAGAGTTAGACCTGCGCAAGAACGAACGTTATGTGCTTCTGGACGACTCGAAACATTGGTGGAAAGTGCAAAATTCCAGAAATCAAGCCGGTTACGTCCCTAGCAATTACGTTAAAAAAGAAAAACCGTCTTTGTTTGATAGCATAAAGAAAAAAGTAATAATAATAATTCTCAATTTGTGTGATTTCAAATGATTATTGATATTCTGTTTAGGTCAAGAAAGGTTCTGGTTCAAAGACTTTACCAACAAGTAATTCTCCATCTCGCACTGTCGAATCGCCTAGTATGGCAAGACGAGCTGCAGCTGAACCATCGGAAGCCATAGGAATTGCGGTTGTTAAGTACAACTATCAGGCCCAGCAACCGGACGAGTTGTCTTTAGTTAAAGGTTCTAGAATTTTAATACTAGAAAAGAGTAACGATGGCTGGTGGCGAGGACAGAGTAGTAACATTACCGGCTGGTTTCCTTCTAATTATACTCAAGAAGAAGGCGATTTGGACGATACCATGCACACTTATGCCATGGCGGAAAATGTGCTCGATATTGTGGTGGCGTTGTATTCCTTTTCTTCTTCCAATGAGCAAGAGTTGTCGTTTGAGAAAGGGGATCGTTTAGAGATTCTCGATCGGCCTCCTAGCGATCCTGAATGGTAATATTTTTTGGCAGATGTTATATATTTTAGCCCTTAGTGTACAATACAATTGCCAGAATGTATACAAGGGATCAAAATCAATCACAATAAGATTGATACCTTGTTTTTTGTGTCTAGGGTCTAAGGGCTGAAATTGACTATCGAAATTATTTAAGGTGAGTAACTAATACATATTTGGACCTTTATAGGTATAAAGCGCGAAATGCCCAAGGACAAATAGGCCTGGTACCAAGAAACTATTTGCAAGAACTCTCGGACTACATGGACAGACCGTATCAAGATAAGAACAAACCGGAACGACTTGAATCTTCCATGGTTAGCTCACAGGTAAGTGTATTTTTGTGATCCAAATTGGATTGTTATTTAAATGCTTTTTGTAGGCCTCTATGTCAGAAAAACCGCACATAATTGACAGGCCTTGGTATTATGGATGCATTACAAGGAACGTATGTGATAATTTATTAAATCAATTTGGGCACGACGGTGATTTTTTGATAAGAGATAGCGAAACGAATGTGAGTAGATATATTTTTAGGATTGTCTTATATTGTGCAAAACAAACTTAACGGTTTCTGAAATTTCCAGGTTGGTGATTATTCTGTGTCCCTAAAAGCACCAGGCCGGAACAAACATTTTCGTGTACACGTCGAAGGGGCGCTGTACTGTATCGGACAACGAAAATTCCACACGCTGGATCAGCTTGTTGATCATTACCAGAGAGCGCCGATTTACACCAACAAACAAGGCGAAAAACTTTATCTAGTACGGCCTTTGCCCAAGTCAAAATAATTTAATTCTTTTATCTCTCTCTTATGTAAATTAATTGACTATTACTGTGTGTGCGTGCGTGTGCGTGTTCATCCCTGATTTAGAATTGTTTCCTTGTTTTTGCGAGTGGCTTTTTTTGTAATGTGTAATAATGGTTTTTGGAAAATGACGGGGACTATTGGAGAGATCTAGTTTAATTTTCTCTATTGTGAGAAATCACGATTGAATCAGTATTGTTTTTCTCTTAAAATCAATTAATATGTAATTACCTTTACTAAAATCAATCTTCTATCTAGATTATAATGTCTGCCTCCCCACTTTGAAGAGTGAATTGTTTTATGAAAACTAGACTTTTTTAGCCCTAGGGCGGTAAAGTAACAAAAACTCCGCCAAGTTTTCCTTTAGCACAAAAAAAAACCATAATTATGTAAAAAATTGACGCATCACAATTATTTTTCTGGAAGTAAGCATCACATTTGCTTAGTAAAAGTGTCTCTATCTCTGCCATTTTCCAACTGAAAAAAAACTGTATAATATCTGGTCATATTTATAATGTAGCATGTTTTGTTATTTTTGTACATATTTTATAAGTTATTTTTGTTAATTATAAGAATTATTATTTTTATTTTGTTTGTTCTAGAACGAAAAAGAATTTGAATTATTTTCAATATTTGTTCTAACTGCATATTAATTATAAGTAAACAAAAAAAACGACATATTCCATACAAATATTTTGATTAGGAATTCTTTTTTTCCATGTAATTGCCAAGAATTTGTGATGAGTGTTGTGGTAAAAATAGATAGATCATTATGCCTTTCTCAAGTGATTTTGCTTGCGACGTTTTTATACATAGGCGAATTACATAATCATAATTATATAAACCGCTTTTCCGCTGATCTGTATTTATTAGGTAGCTACAGTTAGAATTTTAGAATGTCATAAACATACCCTGTGTTTTTATTCTCATCAAATTTTACCGATGGATCCACCATTCTATGTCGGTCATTATCATTTTCCATTCACTAAACAAAGATAGCTAACTCATCGGTGAATCCACCGATGAGAATAAAAACGCACATCTATTTATAGGAAATAATATAGAACAAACAAAGAAAAAGAAATCTTGAAAATTCTAATTTGTTAAAGTGTTGCTGTTTTGGCTCTTGATTTAAAGCAGGTTGAAAATTTGATCTCCCTTTAACAGAATCAAAAATAAATTGTGCCAAATTTCAATAAGAATTTGTCTCTCCATAATAGCAGTTTTCAAGATTTTGGTTTGTCTGCCACCTTTTGTATTTTGCAGGATTTGAGGTAGGAGGTTCCGAATCACAAAAGTATTTTTTATTTAGGCGTGATTCTGGTCAATTAGGTATGGAATCGAAAACTAGAATATATTTGGCTTCAAGCAAAGTATCAGATAGAAAAATATATTACGGTAGAATCTCCCTTTGGGCAAAAATCTTGTGGATGTCAAGAAAGTCTCCAAAATCTTACTGAGTGATTCCAAATGGCAAAATTGAATTTCTTTCTCTGAGTCCATTTCTTCTTCTATAAACTTTGCTTTGCTTTTATTGATAAAGTACTGCTCCTGGTAAATAGATTTTCTTAAGCAGAAATCTCAATTTTCATTAAATCTTTCAATATAAAAGCTCTGTGATGTATTGAGAGAATTTTTTCCTTGTAATTTATATTTTGTTGGGGGCAGACTAAAGTGTCTGTTAAGGGAGATTCCACTGTATTGCTTCTAAGCCGTATAGAAGTGTACAAAAAAAAATATATAATAGATATATTGAACACATAGTTCTTGTAATGATTATCATTTTTCAAATTATTAAGTGTTGTAAACTATATTATACCATAATTGATGATATCAGGTTAATATTTAAGCTGAAAATCAGAAAGTATTACAAAGCCAATAATGATCAAAAACCACAAAACATTTTGTAATACTTGCCCAATTATCAAAAAAGACTTGCACATCAAATTCCAACACTAAATCTCTCATAATTTGTCTGAAAAAAACTCCCGTCCTCACAAAACAAAATTATATTATTAACCAAGTTGCTTCCTGAATGTGGTTACGAACAAACGAAAAATAAATAATTCATATTCTTTAGAGTAATGTTTTTAGTCGGAAAGGCACAAAACGTTGTACCTTATTTTTTATGAAACTAATTGTATGTGTCCCTTTGTACAATGTAACTCAGCTTACCTTAAGTATAATACTCATATTTTAGAGCCTTGGAGTATGATAAAAGAAAAGCGAACAGAAATTAAAAAAAAGTATGGTATTTATAGCGTAATAATAATGATTTTATGAATAAAACAAAACATCATTGAAACTTGATTTTTATTTTATTTGTTCTTTATGTTGTGCCCCAGAAAAACTACCTATCTGGCCTTTCGAAGGTTCGAGGTTTATAAAGAAACAAATTCTCTAGTAACTTGTTTGATGCACCTTTTGTGCGAAACAGCCGAAATTAATTTACAACATGAACTTAGTAGTAGTAAACAATATTTATTGAACTAATTGTTCAAAGGGCCATCGACCGAGGTCTTTCAGCCTTTGATATCTACAATTTTATATGTATTTACACATTATTTATTTATATATTAGGATCTGTGGATCTGTGCTACTGGTACATAGAGAAAAAAAACAAGGATCGTAACAAACAATCCGACAGTCTTTATGTGAAATCAAAATGCACAAGTACTTAGTTCAGTCGTTGCAGTATCTTATTTTTCCATACAAGTGCATAAAGAAATTGCTGATAAACTGTCTTTACTGACAAACAGAGATATGACCATTGCCATAGGTTATGACAAAAATATCTAAAGAAAACTACAATTTAACTTGTCAAAATTGTGACAATGTCAAAATTTTTCCGCTTCAATTTTGAAAAACGTCACAAAAGTCCCATAACTTTTAACGCGAGTAAAATAATTAGATAAAAATGACTCAAGAATTATCAATACTTGAAAAGAAGCTCGACCAAATCATCAAAAACACCAAGTTTGTACCAAAACCAGACTTTGTCTACCTGAAACTACTACCTGCCATTCATAATCTGTCCAAAGAAGAACAAATTTATTTCAAAAACCTCACCGAACCTATATTTGGATATAACGAACAGCTACGCAATGGAAAATTGAAGCAACTAGCCACTGATTACCATGTTACGTTAATTCTTCCTTATTTGTGCACTTTCATAAAAGATACCGTACACTTTAACTTGGTTTTTACCGATCTGACTTTGCTCATTTACGCTATGAGGATGGTGAAAAGTTTGCTGGCAAACAAAAACGTAAATCTGAAGCCTTATATACATGAAATTCTTCCTGCAGTTCTATCATGCAGCCTAGCAAGAAATATAAGCAAGTATTATGTTGACAACCATTGGACTTTGAGGGAATTTGCTGGCGTTGTGGTAGCTTCAATTTGCGCTACTTATTCAGATAATTTGAACAATATAAAACAGAAGGTAATAGAAATTTATAATAAAGGTATAGTGGATGCTGACAAAGGACTCACCACAAGTTTTGGTGCAATCAAAGGCTTCTATAGCCTAGGAGAAGAAGAAGTGAAAACTCATTTAATTCCAAAAATAATGATTATCAGCAAAAAGATTCAAAGGACAATAGAAAATAATTATCAGAATTTCGGATACATGGAACAGAAACATCAAACTAACGTGGCCAAGCATGTTAGAACTGTTATGGTCACTGTTTGTGCCCCCATTCTATATAAAACGAGAAACGTTAACGATGGAGGTCTGACATACGCGAGAGATTTTGGCTATTTAGGAAAATCTCTGTACATACAAGTTAAAAACATTGAAAGCGCACAGTTGGCCAAGCAAATGCAGCATTTCAATAATGTCCTTAACGTAAGTTCTCTTGTAAATCAAAGCATGGCTTTCAATTCAGGAAATCCAAATATATTGAATGGAAATCAAAATTTGACTCCATCCAATGTTAATCAAAACTTAATTTTGAATCGAGCCAATGGTAACCAAAATGTCATGCCTAATCCACTAAATCAAAATATTATGTTGAATCCTGCTTATTTCAATACAGTGATAACTCCTGGCATAAGGCCATTGAATTCGAGTTTGATGAAATTTGGTCCTGCACCAAATAGTTCTTGGTTCAAGAAGGGTAGATTTTAGAAGTTATTGTTTCTTTTGAATTAAAAATTGTTTATAGAAAAATTTGCTTAATTTATTTCAATCCAATCTAGACATAATTTCAATAGTCCTGTTGTACTATTCTCTATTCTATTTTTATCCTTAACATAAATGAAACAAAAATAAATTGATTTCAAAATAAATTTATTTCAATTAGTTAAGTGAATTAAATCAGTTATAATTGAAAAGTCGCTATAGCGGACCATAATAATTATCGAGACCTGATGTAAATTAATTTATTAAAAAAAAATAAATTGCAAAAAATAGAAATAATTTAATTTTAGAATTGCTTAGCTGAGCAGTTCTACAAACTCGTCGTTCATCAATAATAGAAAATTGTTATTCCTACATACTGAGATGTACGGTAATTTTATGTCAATAAAAAATTAAAATATCCAAAGATTCAGATTAAAAATTTAATAAAGTAAATCTAAATTTAATCACATAATATTGTCTTAATATTTATTTCCCATAAAGACGAATTTATATAACATTTCTTGTATAAAGTTGATTAAATAAAGGCTATAACAAAAACAGTTACCAAAAAAAAAAAGCCAAATATTAATTTTCTTTCTTCTCAAGTCGTTTTGATTGTATTTATGAAAGGTTTATCAATTTTTTACTTTAATTGCAGTTGTTTTAATTTATTATTTCACTAAATATAACTCTATGTGTATATTTAATAATTATCATAAATACATCGACAGATCCTAAATTATAATTATCCGTGCATAATAATTATTGTCAGAAGAAATTGAAATAAATGTAGAGGACAACCGGTACGAATTTAAAAAGTCACAAATGAATTAATTATTATGCACAAATTTTCAATTATGTACGGTCATTTTAAGTAATAATTTTAAGCGTCCTATATATACAATTTTAAAATATTCATTATTCAGTTACCACAAGGCGGATATTTATTTAACTTAAAGTCCCAAAAATATTTAAAAAAATAAAATAAAAATAATAAAAAGTCGTCCACAAAAAATGTATCCAGTAAATAATAATAAAAAAGTAAATTTAAATTAAATAAATATCCCAAAAAATTGCTACACTTTTTCTTGTTTTTGTTTAAAAATAAAATAAATATATACAAACTAAAATGAACGTACATTGGGTTTACTTAGTAAAAAGGTAGGATGGGGGGGAAGCGAGAGAAAAGGCTTTCAACAATTGAAGATGCAGTCGAAAATAGTGCTACTATGCGTCTATAAACCAACCAATCAAAATTTGAATCCTTCGTTGGGGATGTTGGTATTCGGATCGAAATTGAATTCCCCATCAGCAGCGCTCGGGACTAAGTTTGGATCATCTTCACCCTGGAAAAAATAAAATACATTTTTGTGTTAATTGAGTTTTGAAATATATTTTACTTTATTAATTTGACAAAGCACACCAAAGCATACAAACTAGGAAGAATATAATAATTGTTCAAATATTAGGTACTGCAGGCTGTGGTCAAAGAAGTGTTATGAAAATAACTGACAACAAACCCCTCAGAGTTTCAATAGACGTAAACAAATTAGTTGCTGTCTGTACAAAGTAATGACAATTTGTTCAAAGTAATGACAATTTGATGTGAATTCTTGTGGATCAAACTTGTTTTTTGCAATATGTATGGTCGAATTCCAAATCCTACAATTAAAATTGACACTTATTTACTAAAGAGAATATAAGCAGTAAGTAAGGGCGGGTATTATAAAAAAATAACTAGAAGTTAACTTCTGGAATGATGTCACATCTCCATAGTCATTCTAGAAGTTAACTTTCAGTTATTTGTCAAAATAGTTTTATAATACCCGCCCTAAGTAGCACAACTTGCAGAAGTAACTTTTTTTGGTCTCTAACAACCAAGATATAAAAACTATAAGAAAAATTTATGGTAACTTTTCCATTTTAATAGTCTCTCTCTGACAAGTCTTACTTACAAGGCTGTTCTGGTAAACCATTGCACAATTTATATAGCTACTTACATCTCCACTGAAGTATTGCTCGATAATATCATAAGCCAACTTGTAAATCTCGATATTGTCATGGTTTTGCAACGCCTCGATTTTATCTAATCCACTACACTCTTCGATCATGTTGCATAACGTTTCAACTTCGGGACCGGCCATCTTTAGCATATTGTTTATACCATCTAATACAACCTGGAATTGAAAATCATAAATTATTAGAAAAAAATGCCAATGAAGTGAGTTGAAAGAAAATATAAAATATAGAAAGCCCAAAGTGTAATAATAATTTCCTACATTGTGGCCCTAACAACAACAGCAATTTTTCATTACATATCAAAGATTTCTGTTATTAAAAAAATATCAAAAACATCTTAAAATTACAGTTCTCACCTGAATAACCGTCGCATCTTTGCAATTAAGCAAATCGCAGAAAGGCGGTATGACACCTTCTTGAATTAACCGGGCAACTTGTTCTTTATTCCCACCAATCGTCAAATTGGAAATCGCCCAAGCGGCTTCTTTTTGCGTCTGGAAATCACCTTTGGTAAGATTATGAATAATTTTTGGTAAGAGACCGGCATTGATAACGGCTTGAACTTGTCGCTGATTGCCAGCGGTTATGTTTGATAAGAACCATACAGCTTCCTTGCAAATTTTATCCTTGGGGTGAGTGAGTAGTGCGGGAAAGTGGGATAAAGCGTCGCAATTTAGCACTATTTGAGTTTGTTCATCGGTACCTGTGACAATATTACCGACAGCCCTCAGGGCGGCTGTTTGAACTTTGACTTCCTTATGGCTCAATAATGGAATTAGTTTAGGGACAATATCGCAATCGATAACCATTTGAATCTGCTCATTGCCACCATCAGTCAAATAACTCAAAGCCCAAACTGTATCAACCAGAATGTTAATATCTGTATGATGTATAAGGATGCTCAAAGCGGGTAATAACTCTTCTATCGTGTGAATTGGTGGAGGAGGATCCTTATTCCTACACAAATTAACAATGACCCAAGTGACATTTCGCAAAAACGATATGGGAATTTCAGGTTTGATGAAAGACAAAAGTGGCTCAACTACGCCTAATTCGATAACATAATCCCTAAGCACTGGCCCGTCGCCGATAATATTTCCTAAAGCCCAAACCGCTTGTTCACAAACATTTTGATGTGGGGAGCGCAATAGCATCAAGAATAATGGCACCGCTCCCGCGGCTACAACTTTATTTGTTTGTGCTGACGTTCCAGATGCTATATTTGTAAGAGCCCAGGCAGCTTCGAATTGCAAAGGTGGATTTTCGTGCCTTTCTAAACATTTGACTAAAATAGGTAAGATTCCACTTTGGATCAAGGCATCAATAGGCGGATTCCTGTCAGACGATAATAGCTTTCTAGCCGATTGTACAGCCATTAGCTGTAGGCTAGGGTTGCTTACTGTAGCCGCTTGGGCTACTAACTGTTCTAAGTTGGTGTTTGTGAGTGTTTTATCAAGATCATCTTCGTCAGTTGAGTCAGGTAGTGGGACGTTACGTCTTTTTTGGAGTGTTTCTTCTCTTTTATTTTTTCTGAGTTCCACTGTGACCTCGTTACGTCTCCTGCGCATTTCCTGTGAACAAAAAAAAAAATACAGCAAAATTAGTAGAAACATAATTGGGTTCAAATTAAATATAGCTTTATTGTCCAAAGAACACATATTGTAATTCAAATTCAAAATTTGATTAACACAAATATAGCATTTACAAAGCAAGTAAAAAAATACATATTCAAATTCAAATTCAAAATTTTAACTGGACTTGACTAGGACTATACCGTACTTCAACAGGAATCTACAGTACTTCAACAGGACTATACAGTACTTCAACAAGACCTTATTACAGGACTGGTGCTATGCAAAGAAAAAGAATCTTTGTGCTTGGCTCTCTGGATCTTAACTAAATCGGTTTTACCGCGGTATTATTTTATGTTGTTTTCATAAATTGGAAATTTGAATAACTTTAGAATTCATGATATTTCTTATTACCAACCCTTTTCCAGCTTCCATTTAAACTTTTAAGCTATCTATGGATATCATTTGTCATTGTTTCATTCCTTTGTTTGGGGTTGAATTCAATAATTGAACTAAAAAAAACTGGAACAGACGTCAAAAACCAACTCACAAAAGGGTTTGAAGCCACTGTGTATATGATTTTCGGATTATATGCACAAATTTTAGGCTTTGTGCAGAATCGAGGATTACAAGACTTTTACATTATGTGGGTACTGTAAGACGGTGTACAAATCTGCCAGACAATCAATAAAATAAAAAGGTAGAAAACAACAATCCAACAGTAAAAGCAAGAAAATACAATCTATAAATGAAGTGAAAGAAAACACAGTATCGGATACAAAATGAACGATTTTTGAAAATAAAAAAAACCCTATGTAAGTACTACCTTTCTAACATTATTGCTAAACTTGTAAGAATCATTTAAAATATCAAATTCCCACTTGTTTATCAGAGCATTTGCCAAATTACACATTACACACAATTACAGGTTATTGGTGAGTTAAGCCCATAAATAGTTCTGTGGGAGTTCATATATATGGAAAAGATGTTTATTTCTTGAATTTATAGGAGAAATGATGTGAAACTTGACATTTGCAAGCAGTTGAGGAGCCTTACTCATATTATTTAAAATTAAGTACAAAGTACAGGCCTTCAATTCTTGAATTATCTCGCATACAAAAATCGATATGATTTCGAATGTTTCCCATTCAATTTACGTTGCTGTCAGTCGATTTCGAATCAACTTACGTATGCGAGAATATTCAAGAATTGAACCCCAGATATTGAAAAACATTTCTTTCACTTTCAAGAGATCACAAATTTAATAATTTCCCAATTTCAACACAATCAATGTTCTCATAAGGTGCACTCTTTCTAGTTTTCCTTTGTGGACAACATAGTAAGGTTGCCATACAGTACATCATCTTCTTATGTACAGTATATTCTAGGATAGACAACACCAAAGCACAATAAACCTATCTCATTGAAAAACATTGTTAAAGCCCTTGTAGACTTGAAACAGGAACACCAGCAGCCTCACTGCTCGATGAGTTATTATATCAATATGGTTTGTAAATGTTAACCCACTGTCCAACCAGGGGTCTTATTTTCGAATATATTCCCATACGAATTTTGATAAAATTTCGAATGCTCCCCATCTAATTAACATTGCTGTCAGTCAAATTCCGTGTACGAAAAGTACTCGAGTGGTTTCGAAAATCGCACCCCAGAAACTGAGATCCTTTACTAAAGTTTACCTTTCCAACCCGAATCAGTACAAGTTTTCTAGATTTAGTGAATAACATACCATTACATTTCTGTATATTTGAAGTCGAACTATCAGTTTCACACAAAGAATTTTTTTAATTTAAATCCTCCTGTAACAGAACACAATCATTCAATTAACCTAAATAGTTTAAAGTCCTTAACGAATCCGAGAAACACACTAAAATCAAAAACATGACCGACATCATTTAAAAAGCAATTAAACAGCAGTTTCGATAAATGTCCACCTTATTGGGAAACTCCGGAGGTAACTTCAACTACTGTAGAAATATATTTGATACATAATAATTCTTATTGACAAGGCTGGCACCGGAAAGTTAAATACTAGGAATAAATTCAGTACAAAGCAATTCAGAGAATAAAATAGTTAAAATCTAAATACCGAACATAAGATGATGATGTATGTAGGTACTGGGTGGGGTGATTGTCTATATTTTGCACCCACACTTATCTCACCTGTTTGAAGAGAAACCCAGAAATGTCAAATGTGAAAGTTGTAGGTAATATCAGAAACTTTGCAATGAAGGTAGTAACAAGTATACAGGGTGTTTAACAAAAGTGTGGCAAAGCAAAGTTATACTTTTTTAAATGGAACACCCTGTATATTATTGACCTATTGGATTAGCCTTTCAAACCTGATTCCAAATACACTAGGTTTTTTGGGATTATTCCTCATATAGTCCGGGAGGCAGTGAAATTTTTTAGCACTTATTTTCCCAGTTGGTGTATATTAAATAGTTTGTTCTCTTGGTGATACAAAACAAGAATATTTGAGTTTCGCCAAAATTTTCGGATGGGTTCACTAGATCGATGAAAAATACAAGTACACTTACTTTCCCAGTCATAAATATTTCACATCCACTACAATAGAACATAAAGTATATGAACATAGCAATTTGGCTTATCTCAGATAGTAGAAAGTTAGTCTGGCTGAAGTTTTTCGGATCTTCAATTTTTCACTTGCCAGACATAGGTATTATCCATACTCACAGATTAGCCGGACTATTTTTTTACGTAACTTCAGCATACTTCTGATTAGTTGACTTATTTTTATCACAGGAAAAAAAAAGGGCCGTGCATTCGTAAGCTCTAACGCATTTTGCGCCTCAACCCATCAGAAAACCCCCCTAGAAATATATGAATTTTGCTTAGAATTACTAACCCTACAATTTTATCCATGTTTCGTGACTGGGAAAATAAGTACCGAAAATCGTCACTGCCTCCTAGACTAATAGTCCAGCCGCTAAAGATCCCATTTTGAATAAATTATATGGATGTTTTACTTGAATGATTAGCTTTACATTTTGCTGGTTGTTTTTATACTTCACCTTTTTCAATAAAAATGCAATTATTCCGCCCCTTTTTTTCTCCCAAACTATTAGGAATAAACCTAAAAACCTAGTATATTTGGAATAAGGTTCGAAAGGCTAATCCAATGGATCAATAACATACAAGGTTATCCATTTAAGAAAATTTAACTAACTTCATTGTAAAATTTCTGATATTATTTACACCTTTCTGGGTATCTCTTCAAACAGGTGAGATAGGTGTGGATGGAAAATATAGACAATCACTCAGTATATACAGGGTGTTTTTCTATATATTGACACCCCACCTACAGCCTTTACCTTCACAGGTAGAAGAAAGGTGTAAAATACAAAAGTTGTACAGTTTGGACTAAATTTTTAGAATCCATAGTCAGAAAGAAAAATTGAATGTCAGAAATGTGAAATTTTGCATGCTTTCAACTTTTTTCAAATGGAATGCCCTATATTTGGTTCTATATGCTTGAAGAGCACAATGCCCTGATTCAAAAAATATATACAAGTGAAACATTCTTGGTCGACGGTGTATGCCAGGCAATTCAGGCAAACACTGAAGCCTGAGAAAGTGCTTTTCCTCCGAAATACATATACTATTTTTTCTGCAATCGCTTAAATATCTCTCCAATGTTTGTCTTTTTGTTCCAATTTTCAGCAGTACAGGAATCACTTCCTCAGCCTAGGTCGGGAAAGTGATTGCTGTACTGTTATATCCATCGATTCCTTATAGCACCTATTGAAAGATAATTGACAATACCAGAATATTGAGTTTCGTGGCCTGTCAACTGGTCGAAAATGTTGAGATTTTTTGTCAATCGCAGAAGAGTATTTTTTCGAAGATTTTGTAATGGTTTTTTTTTCAACTAGGTTGAAAAAAATGTTACAATCTCCACGAAAATATAGAAAGTAATATTTCAGAAGCCTGACTTATAAACGATACCCTGTTTTAAGTATTTGAAAATTCTACTATACTGTTAATGTTATCAAGAATATTATTCTATAACATTTTCTGGAAATCCCTCAAGAAATCATTTTGACAGTCTCACAATCATTTTACAGTCTCACAATCATTTTACAGTCTCACAATCATTTTGGCAGACCCACAATCAGCAGGAAATCCATGATATTGGAAATCACTGCGATTTTCATGGCAATCCTCAACAGTCGCTAAAATCGCAGCGACTGCGAGGAATTCATAGGATTGTCGCAATATGTGTACATTTTTTGAAAGAGTGGTTATACCCTCGAGTAAACACAATTTAAATCTAGTAATCAGTAATACATCATAAAACAGGGGTAATGACTGGTTTATACTTCCAAAATTAGGAATTAAACTAAACTAAGAGATAAATTGAGAATTAAATTAAACTACTAAACTTTATAAATGCAGTTTATACCTGAAATTAAGAATTATGGATTTTCTGAAATTAGCTAGCTCTTTACGTAATCACAAATGACAGAAAGGAACATTGATATAAACAAAAACCAGCTAAATAGATCGATATCCTTAATTTTTAATTCTTAGTTGAAAGTAAAGCCAACTTTCAATTTAATTTAATTTAATTTAATTTTTTAATTTGAAGTATAAACGACAGCATTAAATTATGAACGTTTAACATTTAAATTTTTAATTTAATTTAATTCTTAGTTTAGTTTAATTCTTAATTCAGAAGTATAAACCAGGCATAACAGTATAAAGTTTTTGTAAAAAATACATGCAAATGAAAAACTAATATACGTACAATTATATACTAGTATACGATCCATAGGAAGGGCCTCAATTAAATCTATGGATGAAATACTCATATACAGTATAAAATGCCTGAAGGTTCATTCACAACGGGGTATCCCTTTGCAGGAAATATCCAAAACTCTTCAGGAAAATCTTGGGAGGTTTGGGATCTGACAGGGTTTGCAAAAACCTGGATTTTTCAAAATTTATATTGGATTTTT